TGTACATATGAAATACACTTATAATTATGAAAATATTTCTTAAAATATTCCTAACTGTAAATTAATACACTGAACACGCTGGTGTTAGTCGAGCACAGCGATCAAAGGGAGACAAACACCGTCACGGTGTCAGGCAGGGAACGTTGGTCAAGTTCCCGTGTAGCGCGATATGAGCACTTTTCTACAGTACGCTAAGCGTGAGGCAGGTTACCCTCATAGAGAAGTATGGTTCATGATAATATTACAACAATGTAACTAATACTTTGACAAGATTAATTATGAAAAAAAATATTAATAACTTTACCACTGTAGATATACAAAACATTTTTTTATGCCATTCCGTCCAGCCATTGTGTCACTGCCGTAATTGTTCTTTCAATTCTAGACGATGCAACACATGTTGCTAATAAATTGTGTGCCAACAAAAGTGTTTTTATGCCATTCCATTCAGTTAAAATGTTAAACATTTATCGTATATACCACTATGATTGTGTCAACTTAATACCTCTTGTTCCTTGAAAACAATCACAAATGTGTCAGGAAGTTGGCTGGTTTGTTGTTTAATGCCGCACTCAGCAATATTGCAGCTATATGACGGCGGTCTGTAAATAATCGAGTCTGGACCAGACAATCCAGTGATTAATATTATGAGCATCGATCCCCGCAATTGCATGGGATCGATGACATGCCTCAACCAAGTCAGCGAGCCAGACCACCCGATCCCGTTCGTCGCCTCTAACGACAAGCATAGTTGCCTTTTACGACAAGCATGGTTGCTGAAGACCTATTCTACCCCGGATCTTCACGGGTCTCAGGAAGTAATTGTTGTGAAAACATATTACGAGTTTTGTTTTCATGATATGTTTGTTTTCTACTTTTATATTTCATAAATATTTAAACTCAAAATGTCATGTTCTCATTCCTGATTCTGAAGGCACCACATGCCAATTATAATTTGTTTTACCTTCTGCGTTACATACGCGCGCTTTATGATAGTACAGGTTACTTGCTTTAATAGGTAGGTATGCCACAAAAATTCTTCGTGCCCTGTTGATCCTCTGAAAAAAAGTTATGTTGTTAATACAGATTTCTCAGTTCGCTATACACGTCACTAATTCGTGGTAGGTGGGCTTGTCTGGGATCAGATATCAGTTCGCTATATATACGTTAGTTCGCTGTAGAGAGTTCGTTATGTACGTACATTTTATATGAGTGAGTGAGTGAGTATGGTTTTACGCCGCTTTTAGCAATATTCCAGCAATATCACGGCGGGGGACACCAGAAATGGGCTTCACACATTGTACCCATGTCGGGAATCGAACCCGGGTCTTCGGCGTGACGAGCGAACGCTTTAACCACTAGGCTACCCGACCGCCCCTACATTTTATATGATAACATAAAGGGTAGAAATCGGGGATTTCGTTGTATCCGTTTGTTCACTCTATCCGCGTTCGTCTGTAGTTATAAAGAGGAAAATGCTCTTATTCTCAGTTGCTTAGTTTTACAATATTTAACTGAATGCACTGTTAAAACAGCTCAGAATTTATGAAATTAAGAGCTTTATTAAAACGTTCTAAGTTAGAACGAAATAGGGGGCACGGGTGGCCCAGTCGTCTAAGGCGCCGCGATTCTCTGTGCAGAGTTGTGTCCCTTGTGGGTTCAAATACCGGTTCGCCCCGATTATTTTTCTAGGTTTAGCAGCACCATACCCGTGCTCGTGGGTTTCATCGAAGTGGTAAACGTCTGAGACCGGCATCACTTCGGGCTTTCCTCCCACATTAAGCTGACACGGCGCGATATAACTGGAATACTGTTAAAAGCGGCGTTAAATCCAACTCACTCACTCACTATAACAAAATAATGTGTGCTTTCCCAATTGGCCTGCCATGTCAATGCGTTTAGAATCCTAGATAAATCCCCGATGTTCTGATAAATATTGATTAAATGTAACATATAAAGAATGTTATATGCATTCAGCTGCAGCGAGGCGAGTCACGCTGCTTCGTTGTTGAGAACAATATACGCCATCATCCATTGTTCATGACATCAGAAATTGATTGCATACTGTCATCTGAACATAAGGCTGACTTCAGTGAAATTTGTAGGAAGATGATGTACGTCTCTCCGTGGTGGGCCTAGACATGGACGATTTAATCCCCTGAACCAAACCTACACCACACAGTTAGCGCTAACCTCGAGGAACCATGGGTAGAGGATTACAATGATATTGTACACGACAGACTAAGCTAGGTCAGATTGTTGTGTTTCATAACACATGACTGCCTAAAAATGTAACTAAAAAGTCCAAAAGTCCAGGGCCTGATAGTATTCGAAACCGGTATTGGAAACTGTTCCCTTGTGTTCAAACACCAGTCCTTCACTGTTTAAATTCTCTTGTTGATACAGGGGATGTTTCGCCTTGGTCGCGTAAAGGTCGAAGAATATTTCTCCCAAAGAAAGGTGATTTGACTGATCCCAAAAACTTCCGCCCTATTATTTGGTTGTTGTTTAACGCCGCACTCAGCAATGTTCCAGCTACTAGTATATGACGGCGGTCTGTAAATAATCGAGTATGGACCAGACAGTCCAGTGATTAATATCATGAGCATCGATCCGCGCAATTGGGATCGATGACATGCATCAACCAAGTCAGCGAGCCAGACCACCCGATCCCGTTAGTCGCCTTTTACGACAAGCATAGTCACCTTTTACGGCAAGCATGGGTTGCTGAAGACCTATTCTACGCCGGAATCTTCACAGGTCCCCGCCCTATCACTTCTCTGAATACGTTAATACAAAATATTTACAGGGTGTCTTACAGATCTTGTGTCATCGTACTGCGCTTCAAATGATATTACTTTCATTGAGCAGAAAGGAGCCAGAAAGGGATGTTGGGGTGGCAAGGATCAACTGCTGGTTCCAAAAATGATTCTTGTAGAGGTTAAAACTTTTAGTCCTTTGCTTTTATGTTTGTCACTAAATCCTTTTTTGCTTAGCAAAGAGGAAGGTTATATTCCTGGGTGCCGTTGTACAAATCGATCTTAGCGCTGAGGTGATCGTAACTCCTATACCTTAACATAGACTTACGACAGTCGTAGCGCTAAGGTTGTTTTGTACGACACCCTGGACCCCCTCAACACAGATCACCAACACCTCTTACTCACCTCCTTTACATGGATGACCCTGAACTTCTTGCCAAAGGAGAATCCACACTGAAAAAACATAGTCTCCTTGTCGAGTTCTTTTCTGGTGCTATTAGCATGTCCTTTGGGCTCGCAAATGCAACATTCTTCATCTGAAACGTGGGAAGGAAGAAGAGAAAGGTAGGTCAGTTTACCTGGGGGGAGTTATTGACAATCTTGTGGGAGATTATAGGCCTATACGTACTTAGAGATGCAGGTAAGAGATTCAAGATTGCCCATATCTTAGACAAACTTTGGACGATACAAGATATTCATCGTATTGTCACACAAAGAATCATGTCAGACAATAAATCCCACCACCCTCGCTCTTCCCTCAATCGCTTTTATGTACCAGTTGTAATGGGACGGTGTGATTTGATTAACGTTGAGGCTCTCCATGATAGAACTGTATTGTGCACTTTTGCACACATCTATTTGTCTGATGATCCTCGTGCGAAGCATGTCAGGACTCATGATGAAAATAAGACATTCCCGAGTGTTCTTAAATGAGCCAAGGATGTAGGACATAATCTCAATGTCAGTGTTGATTTTGTTGATTTGTTCTGTACTGGTGGACGGTACAGAAATGAGTGTCAACACGCGAAGTGCCATATAAAATCAGCCCAGACTCAGTTATTCAAGGAGAGGCAATCTAGACGACATCTGCATCGAGTTTATGTGCAGTGTGTTGAGAAGATCAGCAACCCTGCAATTCGGTTGGCCTGAAAAGTGAAACAGAAGGCTTTCTCACCCTGGACCAGTCACTTCCTACTGGAAACGGTCATTTTGCGTCAAAATGTAAATATGACATGTAGATTATGCAATGAATTTAACTAGACTGTCCAACACATTGTCAGATGATGCCCAGCTTTGGAACAAACACAGCATCTTAATAGACATGATGGAGTGGCTACCTTCTTCGCCATGCAACCAAGAATTTCTTGTGTACTCAACAACAAAAGAAATGCGAATACCATACATGTATGTTAATATATGAAGAATTACTTATTAGAGGTATTAGTTTGGTTCAATGCACAAACATAGTGGAATGTTGTGTGAACGGATGTTCATGAACGCATCACATGTGACGGCATAGATCCATGACTCGAGGTACACATTCTGTCTCATACAGGATTAGGTGACAAGTTTGGAAATCACGTGTAGCATATCGTAATAAGAATAAAGACACTCTGTGGTAACACTTGACTGTTAGTTTTGTCATTAATTGGTACTCACTTGAACCATCTCTTCTTAACTTACATACTTCTTCATATGTTTCTATGATTTGGACTGCCTCTGTAGTCTAGTGGTCCGCCCGGAGAGCAGGTTCGATCCCCGGCCGAGTCATATCAAAAGATGTTAAAAGATGGTACTTGTTGTTACCCTGTCTGGCGCTCGGCATTAAGAGGCGAAAACAAGGACTGGTCGGCTCGGAGTCAGTATATTGTGTCTGAGAGGGATATGCATGTTAAACTGTGGCATGGTATCACAGTGGGCTAGCACTATAAATCGGCATCAGTCTGGACTAGTACAAGCAGCCACACATCCACTTCGCTATTTAAGAACAAAAACCTTGGATGCGGTTAAACTCCATATCACCTCACCTTCCATAGTGTGCGTTTCTTTTGGCAGTGAGTATATTTACAATATCAATAAACATTATGTGCTATATTTGGGAGTGTTATTGAATATTCCATGCCCACATATACAACTCAAAAGCTGATTCTATCATATTATTATAGTTATTCTGTCATGCCATGGCGTTAATTGCTTAAATGTTTCATATATGATCGTACACTAAAGAAACTACAAAGTCAGTTAGTGGCTAATGGTTTATTTATGAACAATGTATTCACATCCATTCAAGGTAAGTCGGAAGTAGCATGCTTTGCAAATACATCACATGTCCCATGATAATGTAACAGAGTTAATCTTAACAGAGAACTTCATAACCATCGTCACAGGCTTCATTCATAACAATTGCAAAGTAGCTGTCAACAGCATCATATAGTTCACAAACATATAACAAGGAAACACTGGAAACTTCATATATAATTTAAAAAAAACAACGGACAACGTGTTGTCTGCATCACATAGTACTCCCCTGAAAACATTCAACTCATAAAAGGCTATATGTGTCTAAATTGATTTAAAAAAATAAATGTCATGGTTCATATTACTTGGGATTTTTCAAAGGCCATCCTTTATTTATTAATTGATCAGAGATCTATTTAGCTTGGAAGCTGCTGGTAGGAGATATGAAAAAAAAAATATGAGCATTTTTGTCCAATGTTTGATCAGTGTATAAATGAATTGTACGGGGTTATACCTAGCCCTGTGGGTAATTTTGTTAATTAATATATTTGTTAATAAATCTGTAAACAAAGTGGAATTTTTATATCAGATTGGTTGACCTGTGAAACAGCATTGTGCACAAAATGAAAATAATGATGACAATAGACTGGCATCATGATTATGTTCGCATAAACAGTTTTCATAGAAAATCCAGATGAAATGCAATCTTACAATCATATCTGTAATTTGAAGATTCATTGAAAGTGTTGTTAAAAAATATCAGTTAGTTTAATGGAACCATGACATTTATTTTACTCAAACCTAACTAAAACGAGCTATTGATAGGTCTAAATTCATAAATAAGTAAGCAAAAAGTGTTTACATTGGTTGTCAACTACAGCTAATGAATTATAATTACCCAACATTCATATCTACGTGTATACAGCAAGTACTCTGGTGGTTGCTAGGCAACTCGTCTATGGATGTTAATGAATGGTACCCGGGTACTCCTCTATTTGCAGGGGTGCACACATCACCTTCAATCATACCTAACATTTATACATTTATACAAGTTTGATATAACTGATTGAGTTTATAGCTAAGAATATTACAACACTCATTTTGTGATGTTTTCAACAAAATCATCTGGCTGCCAAATGAAAATAATTAAACGATTTTTTGTATTCAGACACAAAATAAATAAATCCATTATTTAATAGCATTTGATTGACTAACCATGCAATTTTTTGACCGAAGAAAAATTAGGCCCACTCTGCAGCTACTGTTTCCTAAATGCCCGATAACAGAAACCTTCAGATTTGTGTTGCAATCGTGTGCTGAACGACGCCACCTATGTCTAATTGTTGTCTACAGTCTTTTCAGTGTTACGCAGATTTATGCAGTTTTCTCACTTGTTTTACGTTTATACCTCAAAATCTGACAACAATAATTGATAACTGTATGTTAAACTTAGTCACAAAATGAACCCCTCCTTTCCTAAATATCTGTGCCTATGCTTGGTCAAGAAACAAGCAGTGGGCTGTACACTATAAATGAGGCCAAAGGTCAAGTTTGGGCTCGTGGACCTTTAAAGTAATGCTAGAACAGTTTGCCGATTTCATTTGGAAACTAGCCCAAGTCACAATTCTTTCATATTACAATAGTTAATCTATAGTATGACTAATGGCGTGACAGATTAACCACAGTATCAAGAATGAATTGGTAGGTCCTTAATTCTTTTGAGTACTGTACATAAAAGAGGGGGGACTCAAGGAGTTGGATGGTAAACTGTCAGCATCCCCTGGTTGATATTGTTGATAAACTGATAGATGAATTGGTAAGCTGAACCATTCAAATTCTCGTTTTCGCACATCAAAGACAAACAGATAGGTCCCTACAGTGAACAGAACGTACCAGTATTTTAAGAAAATATCTTGATATATTGGCCTATTCGTGATCTTTCATACCAAATGACAGAGAGTTGACTGTATTGCTGGACAGTACTGTCCTTGAGTTAATGCTCTCAGTTTGGTGCTCCCATTCAAAATGAATGGCTACCAAAACATAAATGCAAATAAATGCTTTCTAAATTTCTGACAGCATGAAAGTAATTACAGTTTAAATACCAGTGTTCAAGATCATTTGTTCTTTCTAATGTGCTGGATTGTTTAAGCTTCAGGTAACACATAATGGTATTGCCTGGCCAATATGGCCGAACAAGGCTAGATCCATTTCTTCACAGGTAAAGCAAATGCACCTGAAATCACAATCTATTTAGTATGCCTCTGCTGGAATAATTAACAAAATATTTATGTTGAAATAAAAATCAAATGTTCATATATACACCTTTCCATTACAAATATTAGCCTCAAAGCTCTGTAGCTCACCATCAGCTTGAGGATATATGAGAATGACAAACAACCACTGAAATCAAAACACATACATTTATGGTTTTTGGGAACAAACCTCATGTAGCTTCTATAAACTAAACAACACCAGATGGGCTCAATAATGCAACAATACCTTTTCCATTTAGTATCAATAATATTTAGGTAAAAAGTGGATAATTTCTCTGTGCACTGCAATGGTTATATTGTCATTGCTTGAATCTGAGATTTGACTTGATAATAATTTTTGAAACCATACAATCTCATTAAACTCAGATCTTTTACTCCGATACTATACTTCTCTGCATGAAAATCTGATGACACCACTATGATAAAGAATAGAAGTAATAACCATCAGCAGAATCAGTAGAATGTGGACAAGGGTTCTGTTTCAGGAAGCAATCTTTGCGGTATTGTAAATCTAAGTTCAAGGTTACAAGTCTCGACCATCGCACACTACAACTGGGAAACAGTCCCAGGATCCTGCTCTACACCGTGATCCCAGCACAATGGCTGTCCCAAATTGATATTTTAAAATAGACTTAGTCATAAGATCGCTTTGGGAATTCATTAAAGAAACTAAAGTTTCAGTCTTAGCTAGGTCAAATTTCAAAAATTTAAGTTTGACTTAAGAAAAATATTAGTTTTTCTATGAATCCCGGCCCTGGTGTCTAACAGACAGCATGCTGTGACAAAAGCTCAAATTAACCTTTGAGCTGACAAGCTGAAATACCATGAAATCAGAAAACCCAACACCATACATAACTTCCAACAAGCTGCAACACTGTTGGTCACACTGAGCACATCAAATACATTCATGACCAACTCGTGTGTTTCCGGGACAAGCGGAATGGTCTTCTTGCAGGTTACAGAAAGGGCGCGTGGTGACGAATGATATCAAATACACAAAATTTGCAATGTAAGAAGAGCTTGCATTGGTTGAACCATGTTAAATGGCAAGGAAGATCACTCGATCAAGATTCATTGAATTACCACTGGTGCATATGCATGTAGTCTTGATGATATTTTGCCCTTCTGAAATACTGTCCCTCTTTGTTAAGTAGCAGACTGTATTTCATGAAAAGGAGCCCTTGGGTATCCCTAATAGGTTACAGTAGAGGACATCACGATCATTGATATATATTCAAACGTACCTTATTAGTATGATTAGAACCCAGGATCCCAGTCATCAAACCAACTGTTAATAATTCAGACTAACAGCCGATATGAACAATACTTTTTAGGATGACCTTGATTGAAAAATACATAAAAATATATGTGAGTGAGAAAACTGGGTCATTTTTAACATTTCCACAGTGTTTGAAATTAAGGAGGGTCCTAGGCTCTTTAAGATTTACTGCTAAAGTATTTGAATCTATGAACCCCTTAAATCTTTAATTTTTAACATTAGGATTATGACAAGGACAGCTAAATTATCCTACTTAATTCAGAAATTATCAGAGCAGCCAACTCCCATGATAAGTTTAACAGGGGATATGTTCACACCTGTGGTTGATAAATTTGAACCAATTTCAATTATCTTTATTTCAAATCATTACACTTTCAGTTACAAAATGGAAAAATATATTGGAGGTATATGTGTTTGTCTTCCCCAGAAATCATAATTGAAATCTTAAAAAAAGCAAAGTTAATTCCTCATAAAATATGATAATTAGTACATCCACTGGAATATATTGGGAGGTTATATTTGTATTCCCTCAAATAATAATTGAAATCAAACAAAAAACGTTATGGCCTTATAAAATATCATATTTAGTTCACACACACACACACACACACACCTGAAGTAATGGGGAAATTGAAGCAGATAGTCTAAACAGCATTCAAGCCAGTGAATGAGTAATGGGATAAGATAAATTAACCAAACTGGCAGTGGACTATGCTGAGTATTGTTTTCCTTGATAGTTTAATGGGAAATGAATATTACTTGATTTAGGCCAGTGAGTTTACAAAACAATGTGATGTCATGATTGTTTAATTTAGGTACATTGGCATTTGGAATGACTTTGATCTTAGATAATGCTGCGTCAAACGAGGCTCATTGTCTCTGAGGTATGCAACGTAGGTGGACTTAGATAAAAAATGGGACCAATCTTTCCTAAAAAATAAAATCATTAGTCAAGATTAAACTAAAAATGTAAACCAAATTGTTTACTCAGAACTAGAATCTTGTAACTAAATAAAGTAGACCTAATGTGTAAATATAAAGTATTATAAAAGAGCACGCAAATGACCGTATAATTAGAGGACACAATTGAATTTTTTTCCATTTAAGACCAAGATGGTCCAGATGACTAGCGGTATCCATGGTGAGAGCTGCACTCGTACTTCAAATGATGACGGTTGATGACCACTTTCAGCCAATCAGAGTCACACAGAGATCTCGGGAGCCTCTCTCTGGCAACAATGACATCACTGGATGTCGGATCAAAAATCCTCAGCTCATCATAATACTTTGTGTCGCCGACTTGAAGGATGAGAATCTTTCTGTTGTGGTTGACGATGCGGAAATACTCGCAGTCTAGGTTCTTGATGACACTGACAATGGCTGGGTAGGATTTTTGGGTGTACTTGATGACGTTTCCGTCTGGACTGACGACATATATGGCGTCATCGATAGTCAACGCCTGACTCCAGCATGTGTTGACAGGAAGGTTGCCCAAGACGGCGCTGGTTCGTGTTCTGGTGTCAAAACTCTGGAACACTGCTGTCTTCCTGTCCAGTCTGTCCTTCTTGCCTCCAAACATGTAAATTGTGTCTTTCAGGCTTGAAGCAGAGAGCCCACCCACTGGGAGAAGGAGGTCGCCAACCTTGGTCCATCTGTTGGCATGAATATTGTACTCTTCTACTCCCGACACGGCAGCATTTACAACAAAACCTCCAACTGCATACAAGTTGTCGCCGACGGACACAAGCTCATGGTAGCATCGGCCTTGCTGCAGAGGTGCACATTCAACCCATCGGTTTCTCTTGGTTTCATACTTCACAAGGCGGTTCTCAGCAACACCTGATGTTCCCCCACAGACATAGATATCTCCTTTCAAAACACAGGATGCTTTTCCATCAGCAAAGTATGGAAATTTGGCTAGAGCAAAGGATTTCTTTCTCTGGAGACTGAAACAGGCTACTTCCTGTCTGCGACCATCCACCATCACAAGCACCTGTTCGTTGCGCTCTCTGAACATCTGATACTGTGCTGGGGTGAGTTCCTGTCTGTGACCACCCCGCTGCATCTGTAAGAGGTGATCGCAGCAGTCAGGATTATCTCGGATGCAAGGTTTAGTCTCCAGCAATGTACTGATGTAGTTGCTATTCATCAGAGGCAGTCTCAGGTTGTGAAAGATCTCATTGATGTCTGCCAGACGCTTGCGGTCATGTTCAAGCCAGGGCAGAACTGCATCACAAACTGTCTCCTCATTTTCCACATTCAGATTGTCTTCATTAATGATCTGGAACAGTTCTTCTTTCGTCAGCTCCAGGAAGTCCTCACTGCGGCATACAGACTTGAAGTTGTCAATGATATAGTTCCAAGCATGCTCTGTAAGTCTTGTACAGCTGTAAGCCTGGCTGATCCTCCAGATGGCAATGCAGGTCTGGGGAGACAGGTTCTCGCAGAAGTTTTTCTCACACACCTGCTGGAGAGTACTGATTTGAAAGAGACTGGCAGCATGGAGCATGTCCATGGTGTTCTCTGCGGTGATGACGATGTTGCCGCAGTAGATGAAGTTCAGGATGGACTGGAACACACTGGCCTGGATGTTGTGGATGGTAACAAGCCCATCTAGAGACTCCCGCATCCCGGAAGTGTACATAGCATTGAAGTAGGGGGACACAGCAGACAGGATGACACGGTGGCACGGGAACGTCTTCCCTTCTACGGAGATAACAGTGTCGCAGAATCGGCCACTCTGCCAGAGATGAGACAGTCCCTCAGCGAGGTGACTCTTGTGGACGTCACTGTGGAAGTCCTGCATTGTCTACTGCAAAACAAGGGAGAAATTTGTCAATAATGAAACAATTTTACATTGGGTGCTAATAGGCCTCCTGTTACCCAAGTTCACCCTTAAACTTTACTACCACTACTTCAACTACTATTACTACTACTAGTACTACAATTTTACATTGATTGTCCTAATATTTTACTTTTGATATTTCAGTTTTATCAAAGTAAGGACCAAAAGCATATGAAAGTCAATATCTGTCTCTTAAATGTGTTCACTCAGTTGCTGAGTTCTTGTACTTCAATTTTTAAAGAATCTTTTGTAAATGTTTGGCAAGGGAGTTTGTGCTATGCAATTTGCCTCATATGTAATAATGCTTGTCATATCATATCAGGGGGCATGGGTGGCCCAGTCATCTAAGGCGCCGCGATTCGCTGTGCAGAGTTGCGTCCCTTGGGCACACCAGAAACCTATGATTGTGGGTTCAAATCCTGGTTCGCCCCGATTATCTTTCTAGGTTTGGCAGCACCATACCTGTGCTCGTGGGTTTCACCGAAGTGGTAAACGTCTCTGACCTGCATCACTTCGGGCTTTCCTCCCACATTAAGCTGACACGCCGTGATATAACTGGAATACTGTTAAAAGCTGCATCAAACCCAACTCACTCACTCACTCTAATCCAATTTTGGAAACTTTACTGAATTTTGCTGTGGACTTGGGGTGAATATCAGCCTCTGAACAGCTCAAGAGGACATTTAACAGCTATATTTAACGGGGATCCTGCAAGCTAGAGATACAGTGCCTGATATAGGCTTCACCCTCAGGAATAGTGATGCTTAGGCCCAGTTTTTTACACCACTAGCATAAATTTGTTGCTCTCCACTACAGATAAACCAGTTATTATCTTCAATAGAAAGCAGGCTTTATCTGACATATTATCTGGCAAATTCCTGATTTTCAAAGAAAACAATAAAGTTTAAAAAAAGCCTGCCCTACCTATCCTATTTTTGGATGGACTGAAATCGGAAACACAGATATATTTTTTGAAGGCTTAAAGCAATATCCACCAGGTCATTCACTCTTCATATTATTTTGTTAATGAAAAAGAAGAAGAATCAATAAAGTATATATATATTATGTAGAATACCTATTTTAGTCGAATTAATTTCTTCAATTTCCAATTTCCACAGCTGATATGAAATAAATACTATAGAAGGCAGTCAGAAACACTGATGTTAGAAGGGGTGTTCTCTTATTATTAGGGGCGTTGTCTTATTACAAGGGACGTTGTCTTAGTACTAGGGGTGTTGTTTTATTACTAGGGATGTTGTTTTAGTAGAAAGGGCATTGTTTTATTACTAGGGGTGTTGTTTTAGTAGAAGGGGCATTGTTTTATTACAAGGGGTGTTGTCTTATTACAAGGGACGTTGTCTTATTACTAGGGGTGTTGTTTTATTACTAGGGGTGTTGTTTTAGTAGAAGGGGCATTGTTTTATTACAAGGGGTGTTGTCTTATTACAAGGGACGTTGTCTTATTACTCCCGTGTGCGAAATACGCTCCAGTCGGAAAGCGCACGTAAAATCCCCTAATATAAGTAAGTAAGTAACTTATTACTAGGGGTGTTGTTTTATTACTAGGGGTGTTGTTTTAGTAGAAGGGGCATTGTTTTATTACAAGGGGTGTTGTCTTATTACAAGGGACGTTGTCTTATTACTAGGGGTGTTGTTTTATTACTAGGGGTGTTGTTTTAGTAGAAGGGGCATTGTTTTATTACAAGGGGTGTTGTCTTACTACTAGGGGCCTTACCTTAATATTGGGGGCATTGTTTTATTTCAAGGGGCGTTGTCTTACTACTAGGGGCCTTGCCTTATTACTAGGGGCATTGTTTTTTGTTGTTTTATTACAAGGGGAGCTGTCTTATTACAAGGGACGTTGTTTTATTACTTGGGGCGTTGTCTTATTACTAGGGGCGTTGTCTTATTACTTGAGGTGTTGTCTTATTACTTGGGGTGTTGTTTTATGAAAAGGGGCATTGTTTTATTACAAGTGGTGTTGTCTTATTATGAGGGGCGTTGTTTTATGACAAGGGTCGATGTCTTATTACAATGGGCGTTGTCTTATTACTAGGGGCGTTTTCTTATTACTTTGGGTGTTGTCTTATCACTAGGGGCGTTGTTTTATTACAAGGGGAGTTGTCTTAGTACAAGGGGTGTTGTTTTTTTACAAGGGGCATTGTTTTATTACAAGGGGCGTTGTTTTGTTACAAGGGGTGTTTTCTTATTACACGGGGCATTGTTTTATTACAAGTGTAGTTGTCTTATTATTAGGGTTGTTGTTTTATGACAAGGGGCGTTGTCTATTACAATGGGCGTTGTCTCATTACTAGGGGTGTTGTTTTATGACAAGGGGCGTTGTCTTATTACAATGGGTGTTGTCTCATTACTAGGGGCGTTGTCTTATTACTTAGGGGTGTTGTTTTAGTACAAGAGGCATTGTTTTATTACAAGGGGCGCTGTTGTACTACAAGGGGCCTTGCCTTATTACTAGGGACGTTGTTTTATTACAAGGGAAGCTGTCTTATTACAAGGGGCATTGTTTTATGAAAAGGGGCATTGTCTTATTACAAGTGGTGTTGTCTTATTACTAGGGGTGTTGTTTTAGTACAAGAGGTGTTGTTTTTTTACAAGGGGCATTGTTTTATTACAAGGGGCATTGTTTTATTACAAGGGGTGTTGTCTTATTACAAGGGGCGTTGTTTTGTTACAAGGGGTGTTTTCTTATTACTAGGGGCGTTGTCTTATTACTTAGGGGTGTTGTTTTAGTACAAGAGGCATTGTTTTATTACAAGGGGCGCTGTCATACTACGAGGGGCCTTGCCTTATTACTAGGGACGTTGTTTTATTACAAGGGAAGCTGTCTTATTACAAGGGGCATTGTTTTATGAAAAGGGGCATTGTCTTATTACAAGTGGTGTTGTCTTATTACTAGGGGTGTTGTTTTAGTACAAGTGGTGTTGTCTTATTACAAGGTGTGTTGCCTTCTTACAAGGGGTGTCATTTTTATAAATAAGACTGTTTTCTTACTAGTAGGGGCATCAAATTACTACTTGTAACATCATCTTATTAAGGGCATCCTGAAGGGCACAGCAAGGAGATTTTTATTCTGCTTCAATAATGTATGTCCTTGGTATTCAGTGAACATCCCATTTTATTATTCTAATATATCGAACTATAGCAATATTATTTTCCACAAATTTCTTGATAACTGAATTTTAGGATTTAATTTAATTTCTGACAAAGTGATCATTTCAGAATACATGTGAACCATCTTGAATCATTTTGAAGCATGTATTGGGTTTAAAGAAATTAAGTTCATAGACCGAAATTATCTATTAAAAAAAGGAATGATAGGCTGCCTCATAAAGACACACAGCTTGGTAAATATTAATGACTCTTAAACCATCATGATTACGTCAAACTTTTGTTGTAGCAGTTGATCCAGTGCCAGGAATTCACTGGCCATTCTGAATGCGCACAGGTCATTATGCATAATTATAGAGAAATTATGCATCAACCATAACACTCAAATCTGTGGATTCTGGAAGTAGAATCAACTTGCCCCGACAGATTCTCATGATTTTTCTTTTACAGACTATAGTTAAATGACAACATTTCTGCACAACAGTTACCTCCCCTTGCCTATTAATCCATAACTTACTTTTAGTTCATTACTAAATTCTTGACTGGACATCAACAAAGTGACCAAAACAGTCAATTTTTCAAAGCATTAATCAGTAACAATGAATTTCAATTGAAAGTAAATCCATTCATTTACATATATTTCAAATAAAAAGGAATACAAATGAGATTTCCTTTGTTTAGATCAACATCTGTGAGTTGGAATTTGCATAGTGGTTTGAGAATCAGTTGTAAAATAAGAGAGCCATTCAAAAGTCCTCTCATATCTAAATCTAAGAAATGTTACAAAAAACATGTTCCAGTTCAACCAAGACAGAAGAATACCTGTTTACCTATTCACAACCTTACATAACACTGATACTGGAAAACGATTCATCATTTTTGTTGTTGCTGATATCTACATACATCATTCATCTGCAAGATAAAACAAAACCACAGTTTATTTAGCATTTCATAACAAAACAGAGCACAGTGAAAGATTAGATTTGCATTTGTTTTCTTTAGCTTGTTTGCTTTGCCTATTTTAAAAAATATTTCCCCTTTCATTCAAGTTTTGCGATTTCTTCCATTTTTTTATCAGTTAATTATTTTCATCAGCAATGAGACACAAGCTCATAGTATATATACAGATTCAGTAAGAAGCCATGGAATTCTTATCAGATCAAATATCCTTATGCAAAAAATACCTGAAATTTGTATAATTGTAGGTCCTGAATTTACTACTCCAGCTTAGCTTATGATACAAATGCACACAGTAATCTTATTCTCTGCATATAAAACAATGCCTAGCATAACAGGAAAAAATACAATTAAAATGGTAAATCATCATATCTAGTGATGTTTTATCGTAAATTTCACATTTTCATTGACAAAGTTTGTTATCACTTGTTTGTTTACCTGAGGCAATACGATATAGTTTTTTACTGGGCACAATACATGATATAGCAATTATACTCAAGTGTGCACTGTGCTCATAAAATATATATTTCCTGACCCACATTCGATGTTAGGAATGATGTGGGTGTCTGATAACACGGGGGTCATCCATGGACCCCAAGACCCGCGTTATAGCGAGGGATGACTATATAATCACATCTTGTCACAAGTGCACACATTGATGCAAAATAATCATTAAAGGAATATACATTCAAGATTAAATAACTGTATTCATGTTATGCAAAATTATGTAAAAAATGACAAAAACAAAAATCCTCACCATTTTTACCTGACCATAGACAATGATGTCATTGATGCCTCACTGGGAGATACATAAATCTTTACATTCAACATTTATCTGAAGTCTGTTTCTGATATATACTATACAAACATACTCATAGTTAATTTTTGTAAAGATTCAAAAACATAAATATGTTTCATTTGGTTACATATACTGACTTCATATATAGTTAAAGCAGTGGTCGAAATTAACCTGGAAAGCCTATACGCTCAACTAGTGATAAGATATAGGGAAATCTAAAAGATACAAAAGGTTTCAATTCTTGAAGCCAAATGTATTCTTAATGTAACAGTACAAGTTACATGTTTGGGATGCCATTGTTTTATGTCCTAATATACTTGACAGATTCTAATTCCAATTAACATTTACCAAAATTTTGATACATTACATACTTAACCCTAAAAGATAAAGATAAACAATTATGCATGATTTGTTTTCAATGCATCGGTGCTAATGACATAATTCCAAGTTAAAACTCTTTGCTTTAATATATCTGTAGTTTTTCCAATGATGTATTTAGTTTCATTCAAAATTAATGACATTAACGAGGTCATGCGCATACTCAAACAAACAAATATGTCAACACTAAAAACGTCTATTTATACACAAACGCTGCAATCGTTAATGTGCACCAGTTTGAATGGTCAGATGAAAAAATGGGCGTGGTTTACAATGTTATGATATGTCGATATGGTCATTTGTCATTGAACTTAATCAATACTTCATCCCTGTCAATGTCAGTCGAGCAAAGGTCAGGCACAGCACACTAACACACTGGCAACAACAACATCCAACGTACGTTACCTTAAACTGTATACAAACCGCAGCTAAGCTCAGCTAGTCGCGAGCCCAGCGAGCTATTTATAGTACACCCAGCTCAGGGGCCAGCTGATATACTCCATACATAGCTTCGTATAATATATTTCATTTGGCCCTTAAATTCATTATTGAAGGTCACTTTTCGTCAGGGGGACGTTTTCAGGGTTGTAACTGAAACATTATATGCCAGTAACACAACTTACTGTTCCTAATTCAGCACGACATAGCCAAAACCCTGCTCACTGACAGACTTCCAGATGTAAACAAACCAGGATATTTCTGATTGTGACGTTTAAGAGTCAAGGGAAGATAACTCTGTCCCTACTTTGACCTGCATGACGTAGGAATGGGCAGTGACACTAAGTCTTGTGTACATTCCAGGAATAAACGTGACAGTCATATCTTTTCTTTTTTTAGCAGGCCCTGTTTCTTTTACAAATCTACACTCAAAATTGCTGCCTATAAAAAAAAAATGCCATTTGGGTATCTTGCTTTCGACAATTTATGGCGTGCACTTTCTCTATGGAGATCTACATTGGTATGAGATATATATCAGAAATGATTGCCATGTATGCGAAGCTAGTTCGGAAAAAGAGAAGAAGGAAAAGACTGGAGGGAAGAATATAGTTTCTTTAATACATATAAAGTGAAAACGAAATTTACTTTGGATACGTGTATTTGTCGGTAGCAGTTAACTTCACGGTCTCATTCACAAATATTTTCCCTAATAAATTTGCGACAATCAATACATCGATACTATATTATTAAACGAGGTCAGCTCCACACGGGGAGAATGACTTGACACAGCTGCTGGACTCTAACGAATGTTCTCACATTCTGGTGCTGTGTATAGTTATGTATAATCTATGATGTACATATTTAAATCGGTTTCTGTATTAGATAGCATTCGTTACATGTGAGAACAATGAGTTATAAAATAAAAGTTCTTATCTATCGTTTGTTTTCATACCATATAGATCTATGTAAAAAAATAATTTACAATTTTGAAAGACCACTTGATATATAGGACTTAATGCATCTTTTATCTTCATTACAAGGCACACATGATATCTAAGATACACAAATATATACTACTAAGGCCACACTGTTTTACTTGCTCTGAGGATTTTGTACATGGAAAATACTGGGTTCCTGTCTACCTGAACGAATAAAAAGATAGGCGAAATGCGCTTGGCTTGCAGTGAGTACCAGCAGTGGAACCCAGTTAATGTAGTGCAGGCTCAATAACATGGTGTATCTCAAACCGAATCCTCTTGTATATTATATTTTCATTGGACAAACTTTGTAAGGAGCCCCAGATCTACTTATCGCCCTTGGTTGATCATGTGACTTGCGCAATAACTGGAGAGAGATAAGGAAACAGAATTGATGTTTTCAACCAAATCCTTGTCACGACTTTGTTGAAGAAAATATGAGCGTTTCGAAGGGGCTTCTGTCAGGTTTGCTGTCTGTCAGTCTTTTTGAAACGACCTGGGTGAGTGACAATAACGCGCGATCAATTTATTACATACAGAAGCGAAACAAAACATGCTAACCTACTAACGGTATGTTAGGTAACGTCGTGTTTCTAACTAGGTCTATTAGACTAATGTATTAACTGTAGAGTGAACTGAAGGGGACAGGACGATGAAACAAGTTTTATGTGATCAGTGTCCATATTTAAACATAAAATATTTTCAGTCAAATTATGCAATTGTCGCAATAATTTCAAAAATATTTTCTTCAGTTTAAAATTTAGACTTTTATTTATATGAATCAGGACATATCTATTTGTTTTCATTAACGTAACAATCATTAGGAACCTATGACCTCATTTAATGTAATCAAAGAGAATTAGGTAGAAATTATGAAGACATGCATGGACTCCAGGGCGGTGCTAGGGGAAATTAAAATGTAAGCAAGTGTGTATGTTCCGACAATAGGCCTAAATGTTTTTCTTTAAGGCAAACAACACTTCATGTTTGAAATTGTTGAAATATGGAGCTCTAGGCTTGTTCTTCGCAAAATCAAAATTAACTTATTTTAGACTATGTTTATGACTGGTTTGACTTGTGCTTGGCTTATTCTCGCTGCATGTGCAGCGCAAAGTGACTCCTGTATCGGAGGATTGAAAAATGAGAAGCTGTGTATCATTATAAAGGATATACAATAAAGAGCAGCAGCCAAACTGACATGTTTTTGTTGTTGAAAAAGCATATGCGACTTGAAAGGGAGAAACATCTTTTATGCACAGTAAAAAATTACAAAGTATCCCTCCAGAGAATTCAGGTAAACAAACAGATGATAACAAACTTGGTCAATAAGAAGGTGATATCTGAGATAAATTATCACTAGACATGATGTTTTATCATTGAAATTGTATTTCTGTCCTGCTGGGCATTGTTTTATATGCAGAAATATAGATTATATTTTGTATTTTCTCGTAAGCAATGTCAGAAATAGAATCAGCTGTACGCACATTTTCGATCAGTCTACCAGTGATTTGGTTAAAAATACCCAAGAATATAATTTCAAAGAAATTTGTTGCAATGATCAGATGAATTGTATCTGAAACAAGTATTTTATCAGAAATAATATATTTCAATATTGTGTCTCTTTAGTTGCAGCTGTTACTATATATATTTAAAAATACTAATAAACAGAAACGTAGTACTTTGTATCAACTGATTGCTATTGATAGATATATATTTTTATGTACAGACCAATTGTGCTACGCCAGTGTTCCAAATACCTCCCTGCCCGACCATCCGAGACGGGTTGATTTCAACTCGGGCTGCCAGATTTTCAAATCCCCCTGTCCGACGGTCGGGTTATATTTCATATGTGACAATATTCTAAATATTTCCCGATGATAATCATTAATTCACATGTAAAGATGAATGATAAAATGTAACCAAAAAGAAACCCCGTTAGCTTATCCTGAGAAACATATGATTATAGTGGGCAGGCAGGTTTTGGTCAGGGCTGGCAAGTATTTCAGCTAGCCAGTCCTGTGGTCTGGCTGAATTTTTGGGGAGTTTCATACCCTGGCTACACCAAATAAATGAAAACAAAATACAAATATTGTAATTACAAGCGACAAAGGTTTTATGTATAATATCCAGCAGTTACCTTGTTCAAGGAATGTATCCGTCAATATCCACATGAAGGAACAATATCCCATACATCTGCAGCTGTACAAAGAAACTTGTTCAATGTCACATGTCTTTGTAACAATCTAATATTTTCAAATATATAAAGCGTTTTTGGAGATATCAACTCGTGTTCTTCTGTCAACTGATGTCGGAAGTCCACGGTTCACTCCATGACCATAAATGGCTGTATTCCATCAGCCTTAGTATAATCCTACATACACTAAAAGGCAAAAGAAGTGTCACTTCTGAAAATACTGATAAAACTTAACAGACACTGGCAGTTACATGTTCTGTGGTCAATAAACTCATTTAACGTTCTACTGCTTCTTTTTGTTGCCTTAAAGTCCATTTAACAATTGAGTTTAGAATGGAGTGCTTTGCCCAAACGCAGCCTACAAAAGTGCAATGGGACTCAGTTGCGGAAAAGTCTTGTCAAAAACATGATGCACGTGCATATCGTGAATGGTATGGGTATAAAAGACACCCAAAACTGTTAAGCTGGCTTTCGTTATTTCGATTCATCAGCCATGCCAAGATTATCAGGAAATGAGAGACAACAAGCGATCGGAAGACTGCAAGCAGGCCAGAGTGCACAGGTCGTTGAAAATGCATTCAATGTCAACGTCAGAACGATATATCGTTTGCAACATTGCCACAACACCACCAACACCACCGACGACCGACCGCGTAGTGGTCGCCCTAGAGTCAGTACTCCCAGACAAGATCGGTTCATGATACGCCAATATCTGCAGAACCGATTCCGAATGGCCACTGAAACAGCTCGGCAAACCATTGGCAACCACCAGCGTGCCATCAGTGATCGTACAGTCCGACGTCGCCTAACTGCCAACAACATCTCGGGCCACCGTCCTACTCGTGTACCCATCCTGAGAGATCGTCACCGACAGGCCCGACTGCAATGGGCCAGGCAGCATCAAAATTGGCGTCAACAGCAATGGAGAAGAATCATCTTCACTGATGAAAACCGCTAATGTGTTTCAACGGTGGATGGCAGAGTCAGGGTCTGGTGAAGGAGGGCCGAACGTTATGCTGATGCTTGTGTTATGGAATGAGACCCGTGGGGTGGCCCAAGCATCATGGTTTGGGGTGGAATCGGACTGAACCAGAGAGTGGGACCTGTGGTATTTCAGAATATTGGTCCAGGCAGGGGTAATGGCATCACAGCTCTCCGCTACATTGACCAAGTCCTCAGACCCCATATCATGCCTCTTTTTGCCAGTCATCAAAACCACACCTTTCAGCAAGACAACGCCCGTCCCCACACTGCCAGAATCACCAGGGACTTCCTCCAGCAGCACAACATCCAAATCATGCCTTGGCCTGCCCTCAGTCCGGATTTGAATCCCATTGAACACTTGTGGGATGAAATCCAACGCCGACTCAATGACGTACGCCCAAGGCCGACAACTGCAGCAGAACTGCGTGTAGCGTTCCTTAGGATATGGACCCATATCCCAATGGCCTTCATCAACAGGCTAGTCCACTCCATGTACAGGAGATGTGTGGCTGTAGTCAACGCCCGTGGTGGCCACACCAGGTACTGATTTTGAACCCCCCAGCTGTGATGTCTTCTGGTGCCTCCCCAAATTCACAATTCGCAAAAACATTCCCCAGACTGTTAATTTCATGTGGGTCAAACACTGACTTTCCCCGATGTCTTTACTTACATATATAAGCATTTGAAAATAAAGATATTTTTATGATACATCCACATGACGTTTCTTTTGCCCTTCAGTGTATATAAACACTTACTTTTGACGTATCCACTGTGCAAAATAACATTGATTAATCAATCAACGGTTATTATTATCGGTTAACTTTTTGATTGATGTTATTTGCAACTCAACTCAACATTGCTCTCTTGCTGCGCTGCCACATGCATATTACATTACATGTAATACATTCACCATTTCAGACTTGGATTCATAACCCAATCTTAGATTAAATAATCACCCCATACATGAGAAATGCCAAAGGCAAACCTCTGATTACTTTAAATGTACAATGTATATGCTTGACACCCTCAGAGGCAGGGTGAATGTTATTGAGTTATTTTGCATAGTCTTTGTCAGGTAATCTTAGTGGTTCTGCAACTAATGACACTTGTAATAAAGTCATTAACAAGCATCAGGCGAATGATGACAAATACACAGGTGTAGGGTTTATAGTATACCATGAAAACATGGATGACAAGAAGGGAGCAGTAATTGTTGTATTATATGCAATTTGCTTGAAAAATAAGGGTCATTGCTGTTCTGAGTAAATGAACTGAATTATATTTTTTGGAAAAATAATAAGTACACAAATTTGCTGTGTACTAAACTCATAATTGACACATCCATTAGCACATGCAGATGAATTTGCAAGGTGAAAGGTGTCTTTCCTTGAGTTTGTCCATTTTCCAAAGGTCACAAACGCCAGCTTATTTTACTGATTTGTCACAGCAAAAAATGTCTCAATTGACTCAAGTTTTTCTTGATATACCTTTATAACATCTTGTAATGTTCACAACAAAGGATTTCCCTATTGTGCAATTCCTTCTGTGTGAGGCTTAAAACTTATCATTCAATCCACTTACACCATGTGGCAAGATGATTCCTTGATACATCAAATTGTGATCAAGGAAGCAGTGGCTTTGGAATGAGTAAACATCCTGTTGTTATGGATGGTATGTTTTTCTTTGATTAATGAACATTGACAGTCATAATATGTTTATACACGGTCATATATTGTTACTTGCCTCCTGAAGAAGTATGTTTAGCTATGGGTACATTTATTGGGGTTTGCTTGTATCTTGAATCTAACAGGCCGGCCTTAAAGAGGCCTTAAATATCCATCTGCCAATTTGGCAACCATATTTTTATCTCTGCTGTCAAATAATACTTTAAATTTATTGATTTGTCCGTAACATGATCCACATGTAATATTGAAATACTGGTCTGCTGACTTGAATATTTTGGAAATACCAAATGATACTGTTCTGGTAGCGTAATGAAGCAAGAATGTTCTCACGAATCTGTTTGCAAGTGCACTTGCATCCTTTTATTCTTAAAAGTAGGATAATTGCCTTGAAAAGGCCTTAAGTTTGGTGGCTGAATTCTAGAATGAACTATGTATTATTATGAGTCAAATTTGTGCCTACCCTTAGATGTGGTCACGCGTGGGAATAGGTCCCCAGCGTCCAATTTTGAGTGGAACATTGGGGTGGCCTCGTGGTTAAGTTGTTGCCTCATCAAGCCGAAGGGCTGGGTTTGATTCCCCTCATGGGTACAATGTGTGATGGACATTTCTGGTGTTCTCATCCATGATATTGCTGGAATGTTGGTAAAAGCGACGTAAGCACTACTCACTCACTCAAACTTCTTGTCGTAAGAGACAGCTAAGTTGAATCAGATGGTTAGCTTCTGTGGTTTGGCTTATTGCGTGTCGTGCCCCAGTGGTGAAGGAAAGTGCTCATGTGTTCAGATACATTGTACTAGTTTAACTGGGGTATTCACTGGCTTTCATATAGCTGGAATATAGTTGATACAGCATTAAAAATTGTCCCATTGACAGAACTGATTTAGTACATTTGATAACTTGTTTCAAAATCTAAGTTAGGTTATTTACTGTCCAAAAGGAAATATGTGTTTGTTTCCCATGTCATCCCATCTGAAATACAGTAGATTGGTTACTTTTTTTTTACTATTTTCTTGAACAAATTTATACTAGTGGCATTACATATGGACAAGACAAGGATGAGATTAAAGCTATTGTGCAACTCTAAAATAATGGGTGAATATGTTTAGGCTCCAGAAACACATTATTATTGCCATAGTGCCATCAAATATGAAGGTAAGAAAGTTGGGACTGCTTTGAAACATGACATGTTTGTCTCCTAAGATTAAGAGTTATTTAAGGGAATTTAACCATGATGTTTAAGAACATTTCTTTTTTCTTCCAGTGTTATGCACAATGTGGAAGAACATTTTGTACAGGTTTGTGCAACTTTTCTCATATTTTTATAATGTAGCATGATGTAAACAATTGATCATGAAACTAGAACATTGCCTGTCTGATCATATGACGTGCCTTAACTTCAGGCCTTTACCAAAGTTATGTACATAACACTTGTACTGACAGTGATTTGAAGATTTGAACTCAAGATATTGTCAGAAGTTGTCAGTAGAGTACTATTTTTTAAAGTAATTTTTGTAAACTTTTAAGATAAAGTAGTGAAGACTTACAAGCCTGTTGTGTACTCAATGAGTCTGTTGTAGCATGTATTTATGTATTCTTCTTGTTGACAGAGTACAGTGCCTACTGCTGTGCCTTTGATTCCTCGTCCTGTTGCTATCACTCAGTCTACAGTTTTTGGTGTGAGTATTTATTTGGTGTGTCATATGCATCCTCGTATCCAGGTGTGTAATACCTTGGATCAATTCAGCACCATTACATCGTTGACGAAGTGCCACCACCATGTCAATCTCTTCTATCAATGACTAAGTATACAAGTTCTCTCACAAATATGCATCAAATCAATCAAAATGACTCTACTGGATCTGAGTTTGGCATACATCTAAGTTTTAAATTCTGGCTGATGGAGCCAGCACTTAGTATATTTAAAGTAGTTTGTGTATACGAGGACTCTTATGAATGAACTATGAGTCTTGTTCTAAGACACAAAGTGGGGAGAGTCCTTATGTTTCCAGGTGTTCCAAGATGTATTTGAGCTGATAAGGAATTACAGAGACCATACAGGCCTCAGCGGTAGATTATTGGCAGCAGTTAAGATGCGCAGATGCTCTTTTCTTGGGGCTTCCGTAGTCCAGTAAACAATCTTACGCAATGCTTGAATGCTTAGAGTGAGAGTTAAGTCCCTTCACTTCCCCTCAAGCTGACATAACACTAATATTTTGAGTATTAGGCTAAGCGCAGTCAAAAGCTACATCATATTGCTTCAGGCAGAGACCATAGTACAGATTCTCGTGCTGTTTTGGGTTGAGTCCTGTCCCGGATTCGAACCCACACTCCAGAGTGAGACAGCGATCCAACACTTATGTGGAAGCCGTGGTGGCTGAGTGGGTGAGATCGCTGACTTTGTGTGCTGGCAAAAGGTGCCTTACTCTGGGACAAGACTCAACCCCAAAAAGTACCATAATCTTAAGTGTTTTCCAAAATATAACATTTGTTACATTTGACCACTTTCTAAATGGCATTGGGTGTTTATCATTGGACATGATGGTTTACCATTTCAGTTATATTTCCTGTTCTGCTACACATTGTTTTTTGCAGAGATTAAGAACACAGTATGTATTTATCTCGTAAACAAAGCCGGAAATAACAATCAGCTGTACACACATTTTCTCCCGGATCTACCAGTGACTCGGTTAAGAAATACCCAATAACAAACTTGGAGGTATTTTGACGCAATGATCGGAAGAAATTGTATCTGAAACTATTATTTTTCCAGCAATTGTCTATTCCAATATCAGATAACTTTATAGTTGCAGCTTTATAATTATTTATAAATTATTAATAATAACCATAAGCGTAACACTTTGATGTACAGCTGGCATGTTTACCTCTGGAACAGTTTGGTGGGTCACCATTAGAGCCTTCCTGTATTTTAGCTAATATGATCGCGAAAAGAATATTGCCATGTTATAGTCAAACTACAACACATATGACTTTCAGCAAGTCAAAATATGGCATTTATGATTATGTATCCATTCTCTGTCAACTGATTTTTGTTTTAGAGCACCAATAGCTATAATCTGATCGTGGTCGTTGTCAATAACTGAGTTGGTGCGATCTGCTGATTAGTTAACACACAACTTCGCTGAAATTAATGCAACAGTAATGAATAAAGTTTTGAATAAAATAAATAAAATAGATAAACAAACACTTATCTCTTAAGCAGATAGTGAGATAACAGGATTACCATGCATACTTTGTAAAATGCCTGCTACCTCACTTTTTTTCAAAAGTTGAATGAGAATCTGGTAATTAATTTATTATGGCTTCGTAAACAAAAACAAAAATTAATAGAAATGGGGAAGAAATCAGAATTTTACAACAAATATGTTACGGTAAAGTTGGACATTATTTTTGTATGTAAACCAAAACAAGTTTGTTCACTAATATCCTTATTAGTTATTCTGAAAATTTATAAATAAGTAATGAAAAAGTTATGCCATTACAAAGAAATATAACAAATCTTAATAAAAACTAACATGTAAAGGGTTGGATAGCTGATTACCGGAAGTCAATTCCAGAAAACCTCACATGTAAATCTTCGAATCTCGCCAAGTCTCGCGTGAAAGTGCCTCTTGGTCTCAAAGGGAAAGTGATCGGTCTCAAACTAGCCCCAAGGCTAGTCCCTCACATATATGGTCTCTGAGAATTAAAATAACATAATCTATAAATTATGGACAATCATGATATTATGTATTATCCTAATGCAACATAGTGCAAATATCCTTCTATCTTTAAGACCTGATTCTGACACAGAACCAAAACATGTCTCCCCTCCAGGGGGCGCTCACCACCAGTCACCTCACTACCTCCGCTAGGCTTCACATTCCCTTCCAAGCTGGCAACAAATGTTTACGACCTAGCCATGAACAATCCTTTTGAATCAGACATTATGTTGGTTCTTTTGTATTACTTTTCTGATTAATCTTCAGTTAAAGCCTCCTCAGGAAACCAAGGCGCTTGTCAAAGAACCGACGAAGTGCTATCTTGAGGTGTTGTATATGATTAACATACAAGAGGAGAGTGCCTTGTGTGGATGGCAGACATATTTAAGTAACCTCAAATGGCCCAAAGAAATCTAGATCTGTCACATTTTACGTAAGAGTCCGAGCCTACTCCACGATTGACTTTACCATCCAGGAATGATTTTACAACTTGCAGGTTTCTTGGTGATGCTTGCATCTCTCTTCCCTGGAAGGTTGGATTAGATAAATCAATGGCTCATAATATTTGTTACTGGGAACAATGCTCTCGCAAGTTTTAGACTAAGGTGCTTATACATTGAAAGCATTCGTTGTTAAGTGCTCTCCAGAGGCATCCACTGCAAATAAAAAGACAAGAGATTATGAAAATGATCATAGGTTTCGGAGCATGGTCCAGGAAGGCAAAAGGCCATTGTCTGTGGACAATTACTCATGTGTAAATCTCAGGCAGTTTCCCTTTCTAGCTCTTATCTTGCAGGATGACACCAAAATATATTAGACAGCCGCATTTAGTTCAATCCAATATATGGTATACAACCATCTGAATGGAATTGCTTCAACAACATTGGATGGCCACAGCCCTTTATGATAATAAGTTTGTTTGTTGTTTAATGCCGCACTCAGCAATATTCCAGCTATATGACCACGGTCTGGAAATAATCAAGTCTGGACCAGACAATCCAGTGCTTGACATCATGCGCATTGATCCCTGCAATTGGGATACAATGTCATGCATCAACCAAGTCAGCGAGCCTGACCACCCGATCCTACTGGTCAGCTTTTACAACAAGCATAGCCGCCTTTTACGGCAAGCATGGGTTGCGGATCTAGCATTGTGTCCAGTCCAGGCTCTAGGTCGTACCTGGAGTCACTAGGTCTATTAAACAAAGAAGACACTTGTTTCTTCCCTTAGCACCTGACAGCAAGACTGAGGGATACCATGGCGTTTACTGCCGTTTAGGTTGCTAGCAACTATCTTGCAGGTCTACAGGTATCCCTTTGGCTCACAAGCCATGAGTGTTGGCACTACATTTAATTTATTTTCTGTTGTGTCATACCCAAATTCCTGTGAGATTGTTGAGTTCTTGTTGATATATGCAGCAACTTGAGACTACAACCTTAACATGCAACAATGCTTTATTGTTAAGCATTCAGATCATCATAAAAACCTATTGCTGAGTACTTGCGAGATGCCTATGTGTTTGTGTCCCAACACATTTGGGGATAATTATGTTAGTTCTTGTTATAGGATACAACTTGAGTGTATATAGATAACACATTGTCAATTAGAATGGACTCTTCAAAGACTTTGTTCATACAGGTCTCGTCTAGAACAATATCTGCAACTACAACACTCAGCAATGCTTTTGCGCTTAGCATTGAGATCGTCAATAAAACCTCCAACTGAGTGTTTGGTAGATATTTATTTCTTGTTGCAATGAATATCTGGAGTTCTTGTGTTATACACTACAACTTGAGACTACAACTGTTACACTCACATTAGGCCATGAAGCACTGACATCGTCATTAAGTCTTCCTGCGGACTGTAATACTACATATTTCCGTCGTGTCTCATTAGTCACATTATAAATATTCTGTGGGATTGTTGAGCTTGTGCTGTCAGCTACAAGCTGCACAAGTATTCGACCATGGAGCCTAGCTTAGCATGTAAGAGTAAGGATGTGAAAGGTGATGCAAAATTAATGAAATTGGGGCGTGCCATCTGTGCCATAATCCAGTCCAGGTTACCGTCCAGACTAGCATCGCAACCACAGACCCGACTGCCAACTGTGGGATAAGCCTTGTTGTACCAGGATAAGATGTAAATTAGTATATTTACGATATTAGTATACATATCCTGATACAAAAACTTTTAGGCCCCACCTGACCATCTCCCATCTGAAGTTTTGTGTAGGTTTCAGTTGAGAGGAAAAAAAGGGCGAGGGGAGGTAACCCTAGTCAGAGACATGGAGAGCGCCCCTGGGGGAGGGGCACGTTTAGGTTCTGTGTTTAAAAGGATCGAATATAGGATATTTCCACAAGGTTGTATTAGGATAAATATACTAATATGAACATTTTTCTAATTTATTGAAATTTGTCAACAAAACAGCTGATTTACACATAATGTCACTTACGTTTGCTTTATCTTCTAGAGGTGAGCTTCTGTACCTATGGTTCTCTGCTGGTAATAATTTGTATGAACAAACCTGATAACACTTCTCCTTCACCAATGTCCAGGGTTCTGGTTCATCTGGGTGATCATCTTCCTTGTGTTCACCTGCTGCTCTGTCTGCTGTTACCGCCGTCGCCGATATCAACCCGCCTACGTTGTGGTCCCTGACCATCACCAGCCAGCCTATGGGACTGTGTCCGTGTCTGTTGCACCTCCCCCCTACCCAGCAGTACAGCACCAGGCTGCCACCGCCCCGCCTCCATACCAGCCAGAGCAAGTAAGACCACATTTTGTAACATACTTTAGAAGTACCATCCATTTTCACTTCCTTAAGGATTTTGCATTTGTAGCTTACTGTGTGCTTAGTGCTTAGTGTGTGTGTTAGTGTTAGTGTGTGTGAGTACGTGCTTGTGTTATTGTGTGTGTGTTTTCAAACTCTTTGTATACACAATAATGTATTTTTTGTGCTTTATGTAATTGGGGTCCATATGTGAGTGTCCAAGTGTGTGTGTATCTGTAAGGGGGTGCGGTATTATCGGTAAATTGAGGTTCAATCTTTCCACAAAACGTATCACAATATAATTGTTTTCATGCTCGATATATAGGGTGATTTGAAATAGCGATGTTTATCATGTGTTTAATGTTGTATTCTTGCCAACTGCCTTCGATGCCCTGAAGCATGCATCCGGGGCCCCAAGATGGCTGTGTATTTATTGATTGAGTAAATAGTAAACCAGTATCTTGTTTTGTTCCATTTATGAACCTCAATTCATACCTTAATGCATCAGATTGCTTCTGAATTCAAAATTTATAATTATACAATATATTGTTATATATATATGTATCGCGATAAGGCCTTGAGCATCGCAAAATATTGTGATACACTTTAAACCTCCAATACCCATCCCTTTGTATCTGTGTGTGTCCCTGACATACACTTTTCTGCTATGATACTAGTACTGTGGGGGCATTTGGTGTGGTGTGTGTGGGGGGGGAGGGTTTGTGCTATCACCACACCTGTGCCTGTGGGCATGACTAGCATCTTCAACCTGTCACTTCAGGCATGCCTCCCTCCCACAGTCAGCTGACATAACGTCATATTCTGTTTAACTGAGATACTATTAAAAAAAACCATGCTTGTTGTAAGGCCACAAACGGCATTCAGACTCACTATCCCAGTTGTGTAGATCAATGCTCATGAGGTCAATCACTGGACTGTCTGCTCCAAACATGATTAGTTAGATTGCTGTAATTTTACAGCTTGAATATTGCTGAGTGTGTTGTTAACGAACGCACAAACTGTTCAAAACAGCATACAACCAAACTCGCGCCTTGCAACATAAATGACAATATATTTTGTTGTTTCAGAAACCACCTGCGTATGCCCCATAAGATTTCTCATCTGCTCTGATTCATCAAGAAGCCTCATAACTACAATGTATCAAAGCATGTGATCTACCATGATCTACCATGGATTTGCATATGACGATATGACACACGATATGCCTACCCCTGTATTTAATCATTTTAAACAGGCCTATATTAACCAGTCATGCATGTTCAAAAAGCCTTTGTTAGCCGGGCTACATGGAGCAAATGTGTGAGGTAAGCTTATTGTGACACCTACCATGTATTTTTGGTTTGGAAATCTTCCAGACCTACGGATAAAACTTTGATGTGCAAGATGTCCATTAGCCAACTTTTCAATTGCTCGAGACCTCCGTTGATGGGACAAGGTATGAAGACCCTATTATCTTGATATGTATAATTGAGAATGCCCAACTTGAGGTAAAGGATGTTTTCTTAAAGTTCGGAAAGTTAAACTTTTCGCCCTATTTGGGTCTGTATGAAATCATGGCAACATGGAAGTAATAAAAACACAAAAAGATAGTTGTCTGTTGCTTGTTGTGATCTTGTCAAATTAATTTGAAAATTGTATTACAAAATGTTCCTACATTTGAGTGGGTCAAGAAGGATAGGTCCAGTTTAGGCTAGGTCCAATTCTTTGTTCCTTTGCAATTGTTTTACCTCTCTTTATTTTGTCGGTTATGATAAAACTGATTTTGAAATGCATTCCCCATTCCGCACTGTGGTCTTGTGTTGTCAGTAAATTACTTGTTTGATAGTAAAGTGATGCTTGCTAATTCTTGGTGAAATCTAGATGCGATTATCATGTTACATGTTTGTATCAAACCCTGGACATGTCGTGTTAACATCTGATGAGTCAGTTCCTTGTATAGTTTCATTGGCTTCATGTACTCCACTTTGTTGTATATATTGTAAACATGTTTTTAGGAGGAACGTCATACATTTGTACCCTAGAAGTATTTCTAGTACAAGAAGTGCTACTTAATGTTTTTGCAATTATGCAGCATTTGAAAAACACTTGGACAAAGAAATGTGAAAATACCTGTTTCATGTCACATAGAGAATCTCACAATGGTCTGCAAAGCATTGTGATTCAATTTCATTGCAGTGACATCTACAGTGTAGATCTCGCATGATCTCACCCAAGCAATATCTCCTGTGGGAGCCAGTTTTGGATGATAAATGGCCTTAACAGATATCAAGTTGTCAAGTTTTCTTAAGGACTGCTTACACGTGTGATAATAATAGGTTGATTTGGTTACCTGTAATACAAGTATGTATTTCTTTTGCCTTATCCTCTGCAACAGGGAATTTGAATCAGTTTTGCAAATAATTGTCACATTTCTTTCCTGGATGCTAAGGCAGATACTAATCAAAATATTGTCTAATTGTGCCTTTTACATATCAAATTTTATTAGTCTTAGTGTAGTCTACATTCATACATTTACAGAAATACTACCATTGGTCATGTATAATCATTAGCTGCAGTGGGGAATTCAATTAAAATTGTGTTCAGTGATACACTTTTTTTGCTTGGAAAATATTAACATTTACGGTACTTACATTTAGATATCAAAGGTTAAGCAGAAAGTGTGTATTGGTATACACCACTTTTAACAATATTTCAGCAGTATCACAGCAACCTACACTGGATGAGGTCTTCACACAGTGTGCTAATGAGGCCTCAACCTGCTTTAACTACCAGGCTACCCCTTCCACCTGACCAGTAAGATGGTGGTTTTGATCTTTGTTAAATATATCTGGGATATATAATCAAGAAATACATGTAGAATATGCTAATTTGATACTACCTCCATATACTGCTCAACTTCTATTAAATACTATTACAAAACATGGAAAGCAGATAGGAATGTGCACTTCATGAACAAAATATTGAGCTGCCAGTTCCAAGCACTTAATACAGGAAGTCCCCAACCTTGACCCTTGTATCAAAAGTTATATTTGTGAAAATTCCCTTCATTGATTTTGTTTTCTTACACTACTGTGTTATACAATTTCTATTTGATAATTCATGTAATAACTGGTGAATTACTTGGACTATCATCTCCCTTGGTATTTTATATGATTTCACATCAAGTCATGTCTGTATTTTCCTGGATTATGCATAATTGGTAAACTTTTAATGTGATTACATGTACTTGTTTTCTGCTCACATAACATGTGTAAATATATTATTTTGGTTTGTATTTGTGCACCAGGTATGTTGTAATAGACTGTCAGTTCCACCAAAGCAATCCAACACCAGATATTTAACTGACTTAGCGAGAACTAAGATATGATTTTAATGAGATAGATTCCTGTATAGAACATCAGATAGATCTAAATATAATATTGTAATTGTCATGCAATGGAAATACCAGGCAGAAATTCAATAAGTATCAAACCTGCATTGGTTATGAGATTGGTGAGCTGTCTTGTCTGTGTGTCTATTTTTGTATGTTAATTTTATGAATAAAGTCAAATGAATACAGATGGTTTTATGTGTGAATCTCTGACACTTGAATTGAAGTGAAAAACAGTTTTAAAGTATCCAATGAGTCAGAATATGGTTCTAACTGTGGTTGTCCTGGTCATTGACATTACACACTAATTACACAGTACACATGTGCTTGATGTTAAGATGCAGATCTCTTAACAATAGTTGCTTAACAAATCTGTAGAAATGTAACCTTGGATCTCCAACAATCCATCTTCAGCTTGATGTATTGCGATTACCATGACATTAACACATTTCTAACATGAAATCAGTTTTACAGAACAAACATGAAAGTGTCTTTGAAAATTATTTATTTTACATACATAGATATAGCATGAGTTGTTGGCAACCAAACAATTCTGAACAGCTAGACAAAATCAAATGAACTGGGTTGATCTGGGAGCACTGCTACATGGGAGGACAAGTTGGCTGCTGCTGCTTGTGCTAAATACATCATTACATTGTAATCCATTTACAGATTTCTATATACATGTATACCACCCATAAATACTTCAACAAATCCACAGAAAGAACAGGTCATATCTTTGCTGTCCACAGATTTACAACAATGTGTCTATCTCTTTTGACACAAATGAATTACACAATCAGTGTGGATGTTTCGAAGGACATCAGTCAGTGAATACTAATAATGAAAGGGAAATGAACATTTAATGTATCCTCCTGGTTAACCAATTATTCTGTTAGCGATATAAGCAAGTCACAACTGATTGTCACACCTAACTACACAACAAAGATGGTAAATGGACTAAAGACGAATAAAAATTTGGCGGAGCAACAAAGTGTTTGTGTAACAAACATTTTTAAAAATGTAACAAAACTGACAAGAAATGATTACACAATTGGAGTTGAATTAGTATCTTATCCTTTCCATAAAAGAAAATAAATGTTTAACTTCATGCACTGTTCTAACTTCACATCACATTTAATCTGTAAATTTCTTGGCAGATAATCTGGTGGCATAATTGTAATACTCCCTATTTTTGACATCTAATTACAAGAGATCCCACATTAGAATCAATAATTAAGAAAAGTTGACAATATCTCAAAGTATCTGGTAGAGAAAGCACTAGATAGGCCATACCAAGTTCTGCAATGTGGCCAGCTGTGCAATATTGCTCTATAAATTCATGAGAGGATGTATTTGTTCGATTTTCAAGGAAGAAACCAATGACAAACACAAGTTTCCTGCGTTAATTAGTATCAAGAAGTAAGCACAATTTGTACTGCCTTCGTGTCAAAGTCTATGTAACTGAAGAATTTAATATTCCTCAACTCCATCTCTACATTCTCACTTCCATCACACTTTACAGGAAGTAGTCTGGTGTCCGGCGGGTAACATGGGGTTCGCCTCGTCTAGGAGCTGGGTCAAACTGCAAGCTAGTAAAATGAGAACAAGTCATAAACACTGCTAAGAACAAGTAGAATCACTTAATAGAAAAATGTTCATATGCTTGCAAAAATTACAACAAATATATCAAAGTAGTTTGATTCTTTACATTAATCTTTGATTTGTAAAGACATTTCAAGGTTATCATATTGTGCATAAATATTAGATTCATATGTCATTATGCTACATTTTCTCATCATAAACATTCTAGAATAAACATTATTCTGGAAAATAAGAGGTTTTGTTGATGTAACAATAGTAGCTGTTGATAGAAAATTGTCATCAATTTAACACTGGAATCGAGAAAGTCCAGACTTACAAAGAATATTTGAGTGAATCATCCAGTTCCATAATGGCAGCTTGATTGCCACATCGGTAACAGTAGTTGGGCGCACTGAAGATGGTTACTACATTTCTGTCATGACACCAATTGTAACCCTGTAGGGAGAAAAGTTATTTTTGTACGTTGAGAGAGCATTGCTTTCATGTCAACATGCTAACAGAAAAAAGAGAGAGAGGAACTATGTTATCAAACTGGTTTCAATCGCAGCGAATGTACGGAGTTGTAAGGAGTAATGTAATGAGTAATCAAGCTAGACCGAACAAGATCTGGACGGGACAGATTTAACATGTTTAACCCATCTCTCTATACCTGGATATATTGTGTGTTTGTTTGTTGTTCAACATTGCAGTAATTAAGTCTGGCAACCCAATCCAAATACGGTAGTTCCCTCCTACAAGTGTACTGGTGACCTCAGGGTTCCACAAGTATAAGACGAGTTAATACAGGACTAGTGACTTTTCCTTGTGGACTAGTACCTTTACCATTGAATACATGGCAACTCTGTATCAGATAATTATGGCAGATAGGTGAAAATATAAACTAATTTCTAAGTCTGTACCTATCTGAACTTGGAATTCCAAAAGGTAATTGATACAAGAGAGAAAATGTACAGTGATATGAAATCATTTGACAGCTGTGACCATGAAACCTTAAAAAATATTAATTAAACATAATGAAGTACCTCCATAACAAGCTGATGAGCTCTTGATACAAGCGTGAGACCATTGCTGTGATTAAATGTCTCCGATATGTCCTGACCAAACGTGTAGCCAGCTCCACGGGGAGAGATCCCCCAGCCACCACGGTCATCAGGATCAGACCACAACAGATCACACATCGGACCCTAGAAGATAAATGACAATATCAATTACCACTAAGGTTGTGGCAAAGACAATTTCACGGATTATGCAACACAAATATTTCAAGAGCACTTTCATAATTGCAGGACATAAGTTTCAGTACATTTTGTTCAATTGCGTGTAATGTCTTGTTTGTAATCATCAAGTGCTCAAGAAAAACTGTTAATGGACACATCCATACCACAGCTGCAAAAGTATTCTAGGATGGCTGCAACATACCTCGTGAGGAACTTCCTGTATTCTGTCTAGTGCCCTGATGTGATCTAGTGTGTCTATTGATGGAGAGAGACCACCATGTAAACAGAAGATCTGGAAAATGAAGTAGATGGTAATCACAATATTATTCCAATGCTACAAATGAAACTATTTAAACAGAACATTTTGAAACTACTTATAAATTCTGTATTAATGTTACAAACTATTTGGTTGTTACCTTTACCTTTTATACATTCACTTTGTTCTTAGAAATTTTCAGTATGATGTTTTCAGAACCACTAGTCCTGTACAGGGGTGGATTTATCAACAAATGTGTATGTCACCAGCAGGCCTGCTCTTTTAAAAAGTTATTGGCCCTTCTCCAAACTAACTGGCCTAAAACTAAATGGTGGAGGCCGCGTAGCTACCTAGCAGGGGTCTGAAAATTTTAGAACTCCTCAAACCTGAAACGCCTTTTCCTGCACTGAGATTTAATTTTGGCCTCCTTTTGCCTCATTTCGTGGTGATTTACGAGCCAAAAAAGAAGTTGTTTATAAAATGGCCGCTGGTTGTCATTTTACAGAGTTATCTTTCTTTGAGTTAACCATTCACAAGTCCTCATCCCCCCCCCCCCCCCCCCCAATATTTTCTAATCAAAATAACATGATTCACGAGTAGTGTCCAACTGAATAAAACTAAACATACATGGAGAAGGGGTGCAATTCTGACTAGCCAGACTGGCCATCTACTTTATGTTTCAGCAAAGCCCTTTGTAATTTTAACTGACCACAGGCAAACGGGCCAGTGGGTAAATCTACCCCTGCTGTACCCATCAGTAAGCCCATTACAAGTAAATTTGAGTTGATATTGCTGATGCAAAATTCTTCTTACAATTTAAATTCTTTTAAACTCTGTAAATCTGAATGTTGAAACACAATTACTCACCTGGCTATCGACAAGTGCTGTGAGAGGGAGATAGTCAAAGAGGTCTGTGAAATACTTCCATACATTGGCATTGCCATACTTTCGCAAACACTCATCGTAAAAGCCATAAACCTGTGTGATTTGTCTACTTTCATGGTTTCCTCGTAGAATTGTTATTCTGTCTTTGAACCTAACCTGTGAAGAGAGAAAACATTTTCAATTGTGTTGGCATTTTTGGGTATTAGCAACAGCACTAAACAAAACAATCAATTTCAAATTATCTTAAAAAGGTCAAATACAAGATGTCCAAACATTTTTTCACATAACTGGCACACCCTCAGTTTACAAAACAATAAGGCAAACATCTGGACTGTACTGTTTCCAGTGAAACTGTCCGAATTATCAATCTTCCAAATTTTCAGATAATTGATAGAGAGGACAGTCTTATGTATCGTGTGTATGTGTGTGTGTGTGTGTGTGTTTTCATTAAAAATAATGATCATCTGAAAGTGAGTTTGTTTTGTGTGTGTAGATGAGTAATGTTTCATATTAGATATATGGATGTGTACCTCATCAATGCCTACCTTCGAGCCAAAAGAACATATCAGGTGTGCTTGTCTTTGCATGGCATGTGGATAGGGTCTTATGTTAATCTGTGGTGCTAACTTTCAGCTAGATCTTCATGGACATAGTTTATTTAGTTAATCAACAGAATTTACCTTTACAATGGAAAAAGCCTTAAATTTGAAATACAATAATACATCTCAACCATAAGTAAAACAAAGTATGATCATACTTTGGATAATATCTTAGCTCTACATTATCATATGCATATGATGGGAGTGAAAAACTGTACCTTTAATGCAACTAGAAGTGTGACTGTTTCTACTGAGTAGTACCCCCTGTCCACATAATCCCCCATGAAGAGGTAATTTGTGTCTGGGGACTTGCCACCTATCCTAAACAACTCCATCAGGTCATGAAACTGCCCGTGCACATCTCCACAAACTGTGACGGGACATTTTACTTCTTGGACATTCGACTCTTTCGACAAAATTTCTTTTGCCTGCAACAGAAAACATTTTTTTAACACAGGATAACAGTAACAACAGATCATACATTTAATGATAAAAAGTGAGTATGGTTTTATGCTGCTTGTAGCATTATTGCAGAAATTTCGTAGCAGGAGAAACCAAAAATGGGCGACCCCACTGTCCATTGATGATCAAGACATCAAAATAGTGTCAGATAACATATATTTATTTTTGTTGTGAAAGAGAAACTTTAATTTCCAATAAAAACAGATCATTATACATGTTATACAGATCAAATACTGAGTAAAAAGGCGGTTCATAGTGTGAGTCCTGATCTAAGATGTTGAGGCCATGATAACCATAACATACTAATTTGATCACGGTGATCATGTCATCATACAATTGATAATACATGTACAATACTAATCTACATACTTTCAGAGCATTATTTTCTTGAAAATTTACTCTACAATAAATGAATATGTCTGTCCACTTTTGATGGCAGCTATAATATATGAGCAAGCAGTGAATCTTAACTTTGTCCAGCATGCGTCACATTCGCTACACCTTATCTCGTGCTTCAGTTAGAGCAGAGAAGTGCTTGGTTAGATGTACTTTTCCTTATTTATATGCAGTGCTCAGTGTTTCCCATGGCATTTTTATCTGCAAAGTTCCAGTTAACATTCGAGCTTTAATGTAGACCTGCAAGATTGTCAGGACTGAGAAAAAACATGGCTGCTCATTGATGGAAACCCAGCTAAAGTGCCTAACCATCCAGGTGGTCGCAAACAGTTGATCAAGTACATCGGAAGGTTTGTGTCTTTTATCGAGGGTTTTTTCTATAGGCTTCTAACTGAATTATACTATTGAAGACATCACCGTACCGGTATGAACACAAATTTAAGTTTTCTAATCCCTCAAAAGATCAGCAATGTTGTTTTAACTGTTGTTAAAATGATATATAACTCTCAGCAAGGTTACCATTGGTTATCCGTAATTATTCTGTCAACCAATCACAGATAATGTCTTCTGATCTGCCATTTTAACATAATCAATGTCAAGTATGCAATGGATAATGTCCAGTAGAAATTTGGCGAGATTTGAGCATGTCGCGTACTTTGACAAATATTACATGTTTTAAGTATACAGAAATCAACATACAGCAAACGCAGTTTGTGTCATTAATATTTCTTTGATAGGCTCAGTTGTAACAAATTTGCATCAGAAATATAAAATCTGCATATGAAATGACGTAGAAAATTAGATAGAGCCAGTAACTGATAAAAATGCACAATTCATTCAATGGATGCCACTTCGCTGCAACACTGGTGACTACAATCCGAAACGAAACAAAACAGTGAACATCAGGAATTCAGTGCGATACATATACAGCAGCACAAAAGTGGCATGCAATAGGCATTCTGATGGATGATTACTCCTCTCTGCAAGCTAGTTGCAACGTGAATGGTTTACTTAAAGAAATAGACCAATTGCAATCAGCTTTACAAAGCACATCGGTTTTTCTCATCACAACGATATGTAGGCATGGCACTGTCCTTCGAAGATAGTATGAAGAAGTTATGTGCCAATTTTGGAGTACTCAAATCAATATTAAACAGCTTGCTTCAGTGAAGCAAGGTAGCACTATTTTTGTAACTTTGAAGCCTACGTAGTTTGGAGTTTTGCAACAGTTTGCCAACTGGGTGTTGACATACTTGGCAAACCTGTTCATGTTTTTAATCAAGGTTCTCAAATAATTTGAAGCACTTCGCAAGGTAATATCTGTTTACAACATAAATCTTGATTATCGATCAGATCGTATGACTGGGTGATGCCATTTTGTTTCAATGAAGTGCTAGTGATAGGACAGGTGGAATCTGATTGGTCAAAAGGAGGGACATAGAAGTGACACAACTTGTAACAGCCATTGGTGGTGATACGATTGAGCCTGGAAATTCCAGCCTAGTTTGGCAAAGGTGGAAACATAACACCCTTGCCTCTGGCAGATGTCTTTTAATGATATAATAAGTATTTCGTTATTATTACTACGAATGTACAAGACATGAAAACGTATTTTCAGGTTCCAAATTATCCTGCATATTTTAATGAAAACAATTAGAGGTAAATTGATACGATTGAAAACAATGTACACGCTCGGTAGGACGAGTGTTTCTTCACTTGTTTCTCACCCTGAACATGCTGCCGCTTGTCAATATGAGCAGATTTTTCAAGCCCTGCAAGTTCATGATAATGAGTGTTAGTGAGTTTGATTTAACACCGCTTTTAACAGTATCCCAGTTACATCACGGCGTGTCAGCTTTATGTGGGAGGAAAGCCTGAAGTGATGCAGGTCTTAGACGTTTACCACTTTGGTAAAACCCACGAGCACGGGTATGGTGCTGACAAACCTAGAAACATAATCGCGCCGAACTTAGGAGGACTGGGCCACCCGTGCCCCCTCATGATAATAATGAAATAATATTTCTAATTTGCTATTCATAAGGGAGATCATGAGAAAGAATGTTGTGAAGTTACTTATTCTATTTGTTAGGTTTAAGACAAACATTATCGTGCATAGCATTGTCCTGTTTTCGTTCATTGTTTATCTTCTGTAATAGGCACTATTCCATGTTAATTTGGGTACAACATTTGTGTTTACGCCAGTAATAACTGAAGAGAAGTAGGAATTATGTTTATTTGCCGTAAATTACCTTAAGTTTGTATTTCGAAGACTAACTGCATAGAGCTACATCCCAGGTTACTGGGCCGTGCCATTTTGAATCATGATGTCATCGGCATTTGTGTTCCCTCAGTTACATCATGTACATTACAATTATTGCATAAGTGACATATTTTAAGTTCCTTTACTTCTGTCAGTTTGTTAAGTTGTTATATTAGTCGTATGCTTTGTGCTATAAAAAAATATCACAGTGCATATCCGTTCGATGACCAGCTGTGACGTCATGGTTTGTTTACAGTTTGACACGATCAGATGGTTGTGACGTCAAGAGTGGTGTTCGGTTATGATCCTGTTAGATCAAGATCAGCTTTGACTGGAGGTGGATGAATGCAGTGAGACTTAAAGTAGCCTACCACGCTGCAACAAAGCTAAATTGTGTAATTTAATACATCTTTATTAATATATATACTGGCTAAATTGGGTTCTGAATTCATGTAAATAGATTTATAGTTATCGTTGACAAGGATATCCTGTTCTGTGTTTATCTGATGGATATACAAACTGTGGTTAATCAAACCCTCTAGATCAGTCAAACTGTTCATGATTGATCAGCAACTTACCAATTAACAATATCAGAACACTAGTCTCAGCAGAATAAGGATCATTATAGAGAGTGTGGCATATAATAAGCAGTTAAATACTTAATATCAGTGCAAAAAAAATGAAGATATATATAAATTTCAATCAAAGGTTTTTCACAGGAATGATGAAAATATCTGTGTTAGATGTGAAATGACAGTAAAGTTACTGGAGATCATCTTTTTGTGCTTAAAGTACATATACCTGGTAACTATCACAACAATGTGAAACATAACAATAAGCATGATAAGAGAAGTAATTATACCAATCACTGTTACCATGGCAACCAGTCACACTCGCAAACCATGTTGACAGACAATCCATATGCAGTCTAATTTACTGCAACACTGACATGCAGTTGTTCCCAGCTTAATGGAATGTTATTTATAAACTTTGTCATGTAGATGATAAAGAATGAGTAATCATACAAACTAGGTCACAGTATGGACTAAGTGCACACCATATTATGTGAACTGGGACATAATAATCTGAACAAGCTACTTTTGTAAGGTTTGTTTTGCATCTTGCTTAATGCCACACAGCTATATTCCAGCTTTATGACAATAGCTAGTAAATTATCAGGTCTGGACGAGACAAGCCAGTGATTGACTAATATGAGGAACCATCCACGCCATCAGGGTCAAATGACGCTAACCAAATCACACAGACTGACCACCTGATCCACTCAGTCGCCTCTAAAGACAAGTATTGGTTGCTGTGGACCTGTAACACAACAGGTGACTTTTCTAAGGACTTCTATGAGACCACATGTAACATGTTTCAATGTTGGGCAGGACCAATGCCCATGTAACTATCAGAAGTCAAGTGATCTCCACAAAAAGCAGTCAATATACCAATGCTGCCTAACTGTGACATGATCGGTTTCAAAGAGTCAAACATGTTTTCAAATGTTATGACTCTGGTATGAAAGAGAGGAGACATTGGGTTCCACAACTATCAAAATAAACAGAATCTTACAATTCAAACACAATATCGGGTTGATAAGTAGGCATTTTACCAGATACACTCCATCTTGATTAATTGTGTACAAGATTGCTGGGAAAAAGTTAAAGACAATAAAAAGCATGTCTTATATTAAATACCTTGGACATTTAAATACAACATGTATAATTACCCGCAGTTTTCCAATCACGGCCTATGTAGTTAAGTCTGCTGATAGCATGTTTCAAAGCATAGCTGGCCTCAACTGTACCTACATGTTCACAAATACTGATAAAAACAGATGTGTCTTTTAAGGCCTTGCAAGATGTTGATGGTGTTTTGACATTTTTTTCTTGAATTTTCTACAAACTGATCTCATTGGAATGATGAAGTTTAGTTACTATTTTTTAATCAAATTTGCTTGTTTGTTTGATATTTATCAATGTGAGATTGAGACGGGCAACAGGCAATTTTTGTATGATGTTGCATTTTTTAATTTACTAAAGTTGTCCCGAGACAGGTTTTCAATGTCTATTTAACACTAACTCATGATAATTAAGTCTTTCCTAAAACATCTGTATGAATATATAGGTAATAAAACAAAATTATTGCAACTATCTTGAAATATATTCTTCTGAGAGTTTGTATGTCTGTTGTTGCCTTGGTTTGACTCTTGCTATGGTTACAGATTGGTGACAAATTGCTTACGATTAAGGCATTAATCAACAAAAATATAACATGCATAATTTTTCAGATTAAGCTTATATACTCTACATACATTTACCCCCATTTTAGGCACAGGCAAATATCATTTCTAAATCGTGCAGCTATTATGAACTTGGACTTAAAAACATTCATCAGGTCAACTGAATATCTTCACTTCTGAAATCCTGTTTTCAACATGTGTTTAGAGTGCCAGAAACACACGTTGCCTGCAGGCTTGTGGCTATGCATTGAACTTGTGTCACGCTTGAAGGCTAGGGTAGCAAGTAAATGGAGATTAGTAATGTGCAGGTACCATCGTCTTTATATGCCATACAACGATATATTAAATACCACACGTAAATAAAGACATATACTTTGCATAGTTACGCTGCCAACACACCTTTTCACATAGTGTTTTCACTTGGTTTTCTGACAGTTGCTTGCACTCGTTCAGTTGCTCTATCCATTGGTCAAGTTCTTTGGCCGAAGCCCTATCTTCCACCATCATCTGGACAGATTTGATTTAAACTTCAGTTTCGAAAACAATGTCTGAAATAAAACAAAATTTAGAAATATAAAGAAACTCTGTGGTCACAAAATGAACGCTGTTCATAGGATCAAGACCAGACAAAATGGCCGCTGATTTTGCTTTTCGTGAATGACGTCATAACAACATGCACATAAGAAATGTTTCCAATAAATATAAAAGTGGGCTGTGCATTGAGACCAAACTATTTCCATTCGGTTACTGGAAGTCTTACACATCTAACTGCAGAGGAAGAAAGTTGTTCAAGCCATAATAACTATAGAATATGATAATTAGTTTACCTGCCGCCCCGGCTTCGAAACAGGAGATACAAATCGCAGCACCCTCTGGCGGACGCAAGGTGCGCAACTTCCGCCCTGCAATCTTTCTTTTTCCGGTCGGCCATACACCTAAATGGCCGTGATTCCATAGGGGGCTTTGATAATCCATTATTATCAGTAAAAGCTGCTACTAAATCGCCATGGCGGCGCAAGAACAGATGACTTTAAAGGGTACCCTTGAGGGCCACGGCAATTGGGTCACACAGATTGCCACGAATCCTCAGTACCCTGACACTATTTTGTCGGCATCCCGAGGTAAATAAGAGATGAACGTGACTTGTCGTATACTGAAGTTACTCCACTGAGAATTTAAGTAAACAGTGCTGTCATATATATATATATATGCGTTTGTGACATGGATTTATGTTTTGATTGCGTAGGAACTATTATTGTTGATTAAAACAACACTTTATTACTTTTGATGACCAGCCTTGGATGATTGACCACCGTGTTGAAGTTTTGATAGACAACGGTAGTGAACATAGACTTCTGCTGCTAAAACTGTCCAATTCCATTTCTTTCATGATTTTGTTGCCTTACGTAAAGAAAAAATAATTTTGTTGTCCTATATTCGCACAGACGTGAAAAAAGTCTCCATTTTCAGAAGAGTATTTAAAATTAACTTTAATTAATAAAAGGGATAGGGTAAAACGGCACTGCATCAAAATGTCCCCAAATTGGCAGAAATGCCATCAGAGTTCAGATGCAAAAATGGGGTAGATTGTGTCCCACAGCAGGTAGTAAGAGCCGACGCAGTGGATCAGGTGGTTAGTCTCTGGTTTGTTGGCGTGCTCATTTTATGTTAATCACTGGATTGTCCGGTTGAGACTATTATTTACAGGACACCATCATGTTACTGGAATATTGCTGATGCAGCTTTAAACAATAGACCAGTTTATGATGTGTGAGGGGCACGGATGGCCCAGTTGTCCAAGGCGCCGCGATTCGCTGTGCAGAGTTGCGTCCCTTGGGCACGCCAGAAACCTATGATTGTTGGTTCGCCCCATGTTCGTGGGTTTCACCGAAGTGGTAAATGTCCGAGACCTGCATCACTTCGGGCTTTCCTCCCACATTAAGCTGACATGCCGTGATATAACTGGAATACTGTTAAAAGCGGCGTTAAACCAAACCCAACTCAATCACTCACTTATGATGTGTGATCAGTCATCTGGTCATACTATGATTTGGAGAAAAATTCAAGACACTGCATAATAATGTTAACCTTGCTTTATTGGCATAACACAGATCATATTGCATTTACTCTGACGTGTGACAAGCACATAGTTCAGTTCACTTCTCTAACATAAACTTTAACTGTATATTAATATCTCCATATTGTAAGGGGGCGGTTGGGAAGCCTAGTGGCTAACGCGTTCGCTCGTCACGCCGAAGACCCGGGTTCGATTCCCAACATGGGTACAATGTGTGAAGCCCATTTCTGGTGTCCCCCGCTGTGATATTGCTGGAATATTGCTAAAAGCGGCGTAAAACCACATTCACTCACTCACTCCATATTGTAAGTCTCTGAAACAATTTTCTTGGTAATTTTCTTGCGGTTATTTTGAACTGTTCAACAAGCTTCTGACATCTTCACTCGTACTGGACTTCTGGCTGTTTAACTTTAAAGGTCAACATTGCTGCGGTTCCTGAACTTGTGGGTTTGTGTTGCCTCCACATAGTTACATCCATAGAAATTGGCACTAGGCCTATCGGTACGATATCATAAAGACTAGAAGAAATTTGCCATTTCTTAAGGGTTTTGCTGTGTCGTTATAAGGACTAGTGGATAAAAATGTGACTGTCATTGAGTTACCTGATTGCCGGATGCTGCAGTGACAAACTAGCATCATAGAATTGGGGTAGCAGATTTGTTATGAAAAGAAAGGCCAAGGAGTAAAAGGGAATCATGCTGGATGTTTCAGATAAGCACCTGCTCCTGTGGAAGCTGACACGTAATGAGACCAACTACGGCATCCCATACAAGCAGCTCCATGGCCACAACCACTTTGTGTCTGATGTTGTGCTCTCCTCAGATGGCCAATTTGCTCTGTCTGCATCATGGGATGGATCCCTCAGACTCTGGGATCTTGTCACGTGAGTTGTCACTGGAAAATCGTTTGAGACAGAATTGTGGTATCAGACCGGCATATATTGATGACTTTGGTTGCCAGTGCAACAAAATGTTACATTTGTGATCCATGATTTATCATGAATTTGCTTGGTTGATGTCACAACTTATTTATTGACAACATATATTACCATATTGAACAATCTCATTAAAAACAGATCTTCTTGCTACCACTATGAAATGACTAACAAGAAGTTGACATGAGCCAATCAGAATACAGTTTTCTTGAGCTTTTCATCACTCCCATGCAAGAATGTCTAATAGGTAGGATGGCAGTACTTCTCACAAGCTATGCAAAATCTTCCTGTTGAAGCGAGAGATAGACGAGTTTGACAGAATCAGTCATACAGTCCTTGACCATATTTCGGAATAACGTGTCAAGCTTTTTGAGGTTGTATGATCAGAAACTTAACTGATCTGGTAAGCAACGCTCTGATTGGTCGGATGAAAGGTCGTTCTGACATGACCCATAATGCGATGTCTTCAGATCTTTGCTTTATTGGTTTGAGAACCAAGATCTTATTTAAATGAGATCGGATATCAAAAAATGAAATCTTATTTTTTACCTGAAAACTTTAGGCCTGTTTCCAACAGTCTCGAGGCATCAATAGTTTCATTTTACTCACCAGAAATTAATTTTTGCCTTTACCATTATGAAATATTTTGTGAGACCCTTCATGCTATTTACTGAAGAGTTACTCTGTATTAGAAGTATAAGATATCTTTTGACACTCAGTGTTCAGTTGAATGTGTGTAAAACAGTCCAAGACAATTCTGAGATTCCACGATTGCAGACAGTTTTGAAGAAAATGTTCTTTACTGAATTCGTCTGGGACTGGCAGAGGACACCCTTAACAAGGCCTTTCAGATTAGCTTTTGGCATTTTTCTTTTACTGTTTAAGATTAAGAAAATCATCAATTCTTTTATTTGTTTGTCTGAAAGGTTAATTGTTCAGCTATGCTTTTTGTTTGTTATGATCATGATAATAAGCAATTGTAATATAACAGCTCTGTTATTTGCAAACATTATAGAAACTGGTTTAGGGAATGGTGATCAGTGTTTTTAAAAATCTTAAGAAACATGGATATTATAACTAAGTTATGTCTGTTTACAAAATGGTTGAAATTTGCCTGTAGAATTTGAATTTTCTGTTATATATTCAGATGCAAGACAACACGTCACTTCGTTGGCCACGAGAAGGATGTCATGAGTGTTGCTTTCTCTGCTGACAACAGACAGATTGTCTCTGGTTCACGGGATAAAACTGTCAAGCTGTGGAACACATTGGGGGTTTGCAAGTACACCATTCAGGTGAGACAGTTTACTACTTGTTAAAAAGTGATCAGTGTTAAGGACTGAGTGGCCACTAGGTCCCAGCTTCACTTCGTTATGAGTATTTGTTAATGACATGACTATGCTGTTTTCAGGAGGATTCACACAAAGACTGGGTGTCTTGTGTTCGTTTCTCTCCCAACTCAACTAACCCGATCATTGTGTCCTGTGGCTGGGACAAAACCGTGAAGGTGAGATTCTGTTGTTTTTTTGTTGAATTAGAGAAAGAAATTACTTAAGTCCTTAATGGAAGACTGTAAACAGCTTTCGGCACTTTTTAAATTTGGTGAGTTATGCCGATTAATTTAACAAAAAAAACTTGACACATATTGGTCAGTCACAGGTTTCAAATCCTAACAACCACCTCTGATTGAAACTATATGACCGCCGTATCGGAGCTGAAGCTAATCTTTATAGTTTACATGTAATATTTATGAGGATTTCTTCATCTCCATAGATATAGGTTACAAAATGTAGAGTTGCATTTACTACAGTACTGTGAGTATAGAACAATGCATTTTGTCACAATACATAAATATTGGTTTGAGAATGTATTTCAAGTTTTTGGGACAATAGAACTTTAAATTTGGTGTTTTTCTGTATCTGAATGTGACATAAAATCTTTAAGCAATACCGAGTTTCACATTTGATTTAAAGTTCTGTTTATGCATTTAAATTAAAAGGTAACAGTTCTACATTATAAACACTCAGCAAATTTATCTCCTGAATGGGTCATGTTCATGCTCATGTTCACGCATACTCTAGCAGTATTACAGCTGTATTGTTCAGCCTGTTGCTATATCTAGATGCAGGATAAAGCAACTCTCTCTAGTTGTGATGGAAAGTGTTATTTGTACTGTTTAGGTGTGGAATCTGACTAACTGCAAGCTGAAGACCAACCACTATGGCCACACCCAGTTCCTGAACACTGTCACCGTGTCTCCTGATGGCTCACTCTGTGCATCCGGTGGAAAGGTAGGTCCATGGGTAGCACTTGGGAAGCCGGTTAATTGAAGCAGTTTTGTGTTTCAATATTACTGAATCATACATGGTGTTTTGTCTAGTTATAATATAGGGGTACAGGGGAAAATGTCCCCATGTTAAGCCTATTTGCAAACAAAAGGCATGACTTTATTATCGGTCAGTGGATTTCCTACTTGTGAAAGTAGCTTATGTTTTGGGACATTTGTCAATGACAACATGGTTTTGCTGAGTAATGTTTAGATAGCCGTCTGTAAAATATATCAGTTCATGCCTTGAGACAAAGTACAGTGGTACAGGACTAGTCTGGTACACATGAGAAAATCAGGAAAGGAAACCATTCCGTATTCAAAACAAATTCTCTTTTTGCATCTCCCTGCAGTTTGTACTCAGCACTGAGTATACAACTTTCACGGTGATGCTACAGAAAATGTCAACAGACTTTCTGTGACTGATTTGTTGGTCAAATCTGTTGACAAACACTTCTAAATGGATGCTGCACTGGAGTTAACTCCCTTAGTTTTCATATTGCATGGATAGAAGTTGTCTGACTGATATGGATCTAGGCTTGTCTTTATACAAAGAAGGCCATTTTGATTTGTGGCTTAATTACAAGTATCACAAGGTTAATATATCAAAATTTTACTGTTGTGGTCGAAGTATTGTATTAGTGCTTGTCAAATCTCTTGTCTGATGCAACTGTGTTGTTGCCAGGACGGTCAAGCCATGCTGTGGGACCTGAATGAGGGCAAACATCTGTACACCCTGGACGGCGGCGACGTCATCAATGCTATGTGCTTCAGCCCCAACCGCTACTGGCTCTGTGCTGCCACAGGACCCAGCATCAAGATCTGGGTAAGTCACAGCATGAACGACCAAAGTGTATAAATATCTGAGAAAACTTGTCAACCTGAACTTTATTAAATTAATGATGTGGCACTTATTCTGAGAGTGAATCTAACATCAGCGCCCTGCTGTCTTATGCAACAGTCTGCATGAAATAGTTGTGATGGCTCCAAGGATTTTCATTAAGTTCATTGAAGTTTATTAACGGATGTGTAAGCAGCTTTGTGCATGCTGTTATTGTGGGGTGGGGTAGATTTCCAAGTGCATAAGATCTCACTGAAGATGTTTTTTGTTCAGGCCCTTCAATGGAAAAATTGGCAGTGAAAGTTCTGGCATTTAGATTGAAGTAACACTAATAATAATGGCATAGAACCTCATACTTATTCTGACTGCTGCACATTTCTCATGGTGCATGGTTGTGTTGCAGGATCTTGAAGGCAAGGTGATCGTGGATGAGCTGAAGCCAGAAGTGCTGGCCCAGAAGCAGGGACGGGAACCGCCTAACTGCCTTTCCCTGGCCTGGTCTGCTGATGGCCAGACTCTGTTTGCTGGCTACAGTGACAATGTCATCAGAGTGTGGCAAGTGTCAATGGCCATGCACTGAATGACAAAATGAAAAATGTCAATGCTCTCGAACAGGGCACAATTTCCAGGCTTTGCCTGAAATAAAAAAAACATGTGATGTAATTGTGTGTTTGTCGATTATATTTCATGGGGTAAAGTTTGTGGTCTAAGGGAAGTAAATCTGCTTGCTAATATTGTCTGGCTATTAACGGTAATGCTAATCTTGTGTTCCTCTTACCAGTACTTTGTAATTTCTAAGAGTTATGCCCCTTATGCAAGCTCCCTTCAGAGTCTACATGCAAATCTCAGACAGCTGTACTATATCAAAGGGAAGTAACTATTAAGAAAAGAATCTTAGACAGGTACCCTGTACTTATTGCAGTACGGTGAGGAGAACAACCGCTCTGGGGCAGGCTCACCAGTCTAAAATAATCTGTTCTGCACATATCAGAAATAAGTTATGACGTCATTCTACATGTATCAAGGGAGATGACCCGTATTTTCTAAGCTTTTCAGTGCGTGAATCATTTGTCACCACTCGCCCCTTTCCGTAACTTGCAAGAAGACTCGAACCCCTATCAATGAATGTTATGAGCGAAAATACGACAAACCAATCAGAATGCGTGTATGACTTCAAGTTCTTCGTCAAAGAATCCCTCAGAAATATTTTTTGATTTTACTTATGTCTTGCATCGAATGTGCGTGAAAACGCTATCGCTGAGAAGAGCTTGAATTTCCCTATAGAACTCGGAATATTTAACATAATGTGGAGAGTTGAACACACTGTATGGAACTTATAAAAGGGACATTACTCTTATTGATTGTTAGTACATCACATTCGTCACTACTGGCATGTTTCCATGACCTACAACAAGGCTCGTCCCGCTCTCGAAGGAAGAACGCCATGCGTCGAAACGGGGCAAGCCAATGAGAAAGCGCGTCAGGATATGGGTACCTCAATTAATATAATCCCGAGTATTTAAATTAATTTTGGGAATATTCTTTTGTTTATATAATGTGGAAAAATGTAGATTGTCGGTTCCGCGCCGCAGTGTATACGGAGAACAGGATTGTGTTATATTAATGTTACTTGTAGGGCCATGTTGGTTGATAAATTCAAATGTACACGTGCATTTGTTTACATTTAGGAAACGGCTCCCTTGACTGCGACATCCGTTCACTTGAGCCGTCACTAGTCTTGGCTCTCCAAAACTACATTCAGTGTTATATTCCATTTTGATGGTACACCAAGACATCAAAAGCGACTATGCTTGTAGGAGGCAACTAACGGGATCGGGTGGTCAGGCTCGCTGACTTGGTTGATGCATGTCATCGTATCCCAATTGCGTGGATCGATGCTCATGATGTCAATCACTGGATTGTCTGGTCCCGACTCGATTATTTACAGACCGCCGTCATATTGCTGAGTGCGGTGTTGAACAATAAACAAACAACCATAAAATATAAATCAAAATTATTTACTAATCACCTATTAAAAAACACATTTAATTACCTGTTACATATGTAAATATATGTCACATGTGTAAATGTCACACACATCATCACACACACCAACACTCCCACACAGTTTCATCTTTTAAAGATGTCAATGTTTTATCAAGCACATCGTTTGTACTCTGCTACATGTCTTTACACAAGCTGATAAGATTGTATTTCTTCCTTTTCTTAACACCTTACTAATTTGCAAATAAAAGATGAACAGCTGAGGAGGAATTAGTTGAACGACTTGCCAGATATACTTTAGTACACAAGAATATACTAGTGTATATATATCAGTAAGGTTCAACAGGAATAAGCGTGCACTGCTGTAAAACCAATCTTGCTGTAGAATGCGGGTAGAATGAGAGTTATTGTTCTTATTTGAAGTAGTTCGCGTGTTCATACTCCAATATTGAAACCTTCGACAGGGGCACGAGTCTACATTCGACTTGTAACGTAATGGGACGAGTTGGTCACGAATGAGTATATCATAACACGATTATCTCCCTTAGACCATTAACTGCATTGATGGCGCGGCACGGCTTGCCGATTTCACAATGCTCTCGAACAGGGCACAATTTCCAGGCTTTGCCTGAAATAAAAAAAAAGTGATGTAATTGTGTGTTTGTCGATTAGCTGGCGGGGTTATCTTTAAACAACGTTTATATAAACGACTTGTGTTAACTTGATTCTTGATTCATTGTTCGTTAATTATGTGGGGGATCCGGGGTAGAATGGGTCTTCAGCAACCCATGCTTGTCTTGAGGCGACAAACAGGATCGGATGGTCAGGCGAGCTGATTTGGTCGATGTATATCATCGTATCCCAATTGCGTTGGTCGATGTTCCTGATGTCAATCACTGGATTGTCTGGTCCAGACTCGATTATTTACAGACCGCCGTCACATTTCTGGAATATTGCTGAGTGCGGCGTTAAACAACAAACAAACAAACGTTAATTATGTACGTCTTTTTGGATCATGAGACGACATATGCCACACAGACAGATCTACGGAAAGTATCCTAAGCATCTCATGCCTTTTTGCAAATGATCAATCTTTCAGAACATCATTGCGGCACAGTAAATTTCATAGGTCCCGATTTACATAAGAGTATTTTGTCATGAACCCATATCATATTAGATCAAAACCTTGACGTCGCAATATATATTTTATAATGGCAAGTAATGTGCAGACGACGTGACATATATTCTATGATTTAACGTGTTTGATTTGGGCGTCTTTACTTATTTTTGTGTTTCTCACCCCCCCCCCACCCCCCCACCCCCCCCCCCATGGTTTTCCCATGGAGGGGTAGTTTCCTTATTGCAGAATACCTATTCAAGGCTTTGACGATCTATACCAAATATTGACAATTTAATCCTATGTCTGGACGACTATTATGTTAATATGTTTCCTATTTATTAAGTTAGAAAGACAGACGGACCTTGTCAAGTAAAGTTTAAATTTTACAAAAAAGAAATGCAAAATATCCTTTAGTGAAGCAGATTTCATATTTTTAAATCTTTCGTATGGATATAATATAAAATGTTTAAGTCTTTGAAAGGCATTCAGAAGTGATACATGTAAGGAAGAGTATTTATGGAGGTGTACTTCGTTTTTTATGAGAAACACAACGTTTCAGAGTATATACTTACTCCTTCAGCAAGTGAATAAATACAATGGAATAGAGAAGAACAAAAATAATAAGATAACAAGGGTGGAAACTTAATAAGGGAAGCCAACAGATACTTGGCGCTGACAGGTGATTAGCGATGGAAAAATGGAAGCCAACGGAACAGAGATAAATGACAAAAGTTGAACCCCATTAAATTCCCATCCCCGTATGCAAGACCAACAGGGAAGATCCACAAGAAGCCACCTACAGACAGAATATCAGTCTGCTCGAAAGGATCTGTGTTCTGGCAAAGATGGCAAATCCTACATCAGCGACCCCTCTTTCGTCAACCAGGTGAAAGAAGCTAACCTCACAACCACCATGGTCGGCTATGACGTCGTCGACCTCTTTACCAACATACCTCTACAAGAAGCACTTGACATTGTTATATGTGCTGGTGTATGTTTGAATATGGGGTGTATGTGTACTTTATCTGTTGATCAGTATATGAGGTGCAATTAGACTTGACTTGAGGTGAGGGGCTTTCAGTTGAGTGAATTGCTTGTTATGTACAGCTTGTGATCTGACTGATTCAAGCGAGTAGCTTTTGTGAGCAGTTAAAGTCGGAAGCTCATCGACAAAGCATTTTAAAGCACTTGTGTAGTAGTGGAAGTGCAATGGTGTTTGTAATTTGGTGATGCAACAGTCTTCTTTGTTTCCTCCTCCAGAAGTATCTATAATGTTACTCTGTGAAATTGTACCATGTCGGGGCTGACAAAAACTGAGATCATATTGATGCGCCTTCAACTATGTACCACTGTGCAACAACGATGTCTGATGCAGACTGAGATCATATTGATGCGCCTTCAACTATGTACCACTGTGCAACAACCATGTCTGATGCAGACTGAGATCATATTGATGCGCCTTCAACTATGTACCACTGTGCAACAAACATGTCTGATGCAGACTGAGATCATATAAATGCGCCTTCAACTATGTACCACTGTGCAACAACGATGTCTGATGCAGACTGAGATCATATTGATGCGCCTTCAACTATGTGCCACTGTGCAACAACCATGTCTGATGCAGACTGAGATCATATTGATGCGCCTTCAACTATGTACCACTGTGCAACAACGATGTCTGATGCAGACTGAGATCATATTGATGCGCCTTCAACTATGTACCACTGTGCAACAACCATGTCTGATGCAGACTGAGATCATATTGATGCGCCTTCAACTATGTACCACTGTGCAACAACCATGTCTGATGCAGACTGAGATCATATTGATGCGCCTTCAACTATGTACCACTGTGCAACAACCATGTCTGATGCAGACTGAGATCATATTGATGCGCCTTCAACTATGTACCACTGTGCAACAACGATGTCTGATGCAGACTGAGATCATATTGATGCGCCTTCAACTATGTACCACTGTGCAACAACCATGTCTGATGCAGACTGAGATCATATTGATGCGCCTTCAACTATGTACCACTGTGCAACAACCATGTCTGATGCAGACTGAGATCATATTGATGCGCCTTCAACTATGTACCACTGTGCAACAACCATGTCTGATGCAGACTGAGATCATATTGATGCGCCTTCAACTATGTACCACTGTGCAACAACCATGTCTGATGCAGACTGAGATCATATTGATGCGCCTTCAACTATGTACCACTGTGCAACGACGATGTCTGATGCAGACTGAGATCATATTGATGCGCCTTCAACTATGTACCACTGTGCAACAACCATGTCTGATGCAGACTGAGATCATATTGATGCGCCTTCAACTATGTACCACTGTGCAACAACGATGTCTGATGCAGACTGAGATCATATTGATGCGCCTTCAACTATGTACCACTGTGCAACAACCATGTCTGATGCAGACTGAGATCATATTGATGCGCCTTCAACTATGTACCACTGTGCAACAACCATGTCTGATGCAGACTGAGATCATATTGATGCGCCTTCAACTA